ATATTTTAAAAAATTACAAAGAAAGAGAATTACAGGCCATTATCTCTGATGAACATAGATGCTAAAATCCTCAGCAAAATATTAGCAAATCAGATCCAGCAATATGTTAAAAAATCATACACCATTACCAAGTGGGATTTATTTCAGGGATGCAAGGCTGGAATCAATAAATGTGATACATAACTTAAACAAACTAAAAGAAAAAAAATCACACGATCATATCAATAGATGCAGAAAAAGCATTAGACAAAATCTAGCACCCATTTTTGATAAAAACTATCAGCAAAGTGGAAATAGAGGGATCATACCTCAACATGATAAAGACTATATATGACAAACCTACAGTGACATCATACTCAATGGGCAAAAACTAAAACAATTTTTCTAAGAACAGGAATAAGACAGGATGTCTATTTTCACCACTCCTGTTCAACTCAGTACTGTAAGTCCTGCCACAGCGATCAGATAAGAAGAAGAAATAAAAGGCATCCAAATTGGATGTAAAGGGGGAAGTAAAACTGTCATTATTCGCAGATCACATGATATTGTACATAGAAAATCCTAAAGACTCCACCAGAAAAGTACTAGATTTAGTAACGGAATCCAGCAATGTAGCAGGATACAAAATTAACACCCAGAAATCTATGGCATTTTTATACACCAATAATGAGTTCTCAGAAAAAGAAACTAAACAAACAATCCCATTTACCAATGTAATAAAAAAGTTAGGACACTTAGAATACTTATCCAAGGAGGTAAAAGACTTGTACTTGGAAAACTATAGGACACTGAAAAAGAGATAGAGGAAGATATAAACAAATGGAAGAATATACTGTGATTGTGGACTGGTAGGATTAACATCATTAAAATGTCCATACTACCCAAGGCAATCTACAGATTCAGTGCAATCCCTATTAAAATACCAACAGCATATTTCACAGATCCAGAACAAATACTCCAAAAATTTATATGGAACCAAAAAAAGACCCCTAATAGTCACAGCAATCTTGAGGAAGAAGATCAAAGTTGGAGGGATCACAATACCAGATATCAAGTTACACAACAAAGCCACTGATACTGGCACAAGACCAGGCATACAAATCAATGGAAAGGAACAGAGACCCCAGAAATTGACCCAATTAATATTTGACAAAGGAGGCAAGAACATACAATGTAGTCAAGACAGTCTCTTCAATAAATTATGTTGGAAAAATTGGACAGATACATGCCAAAAAAAGAAAAAAAAGAAACTAGACCACCAACTTACACCAGACACAAGAATAAACTCAAAATGGGTAATAAAAGACTTAAACGTACATTATGAAACCATAAAAATCCTAGAAAAAATTATAGGCAGAAAAATCTCAGACATCTCTCGTAGCAATATGTTTGCAGTACATCTCCTAGGGGCAATGGGAACTAAGGAGAAAATAAACACATGGGACGACATTAAAATAAAAAGCTTCTTAACAACAAAACGAAAAGGGAGCCCATTGTACAGGAGAACATATTTGGCAATGATACATCTGATAAAGCTTTAATATCCAAAATATATAAGAAATCTATACAACTTAACAAAAGGAAGACAAACAATCCAATTAAAAAATGGACAGCTCTAGCTAATTTGGCTCAGTGGAGAGAGCAGAAACCTGTGAACTGAAGGGTCCCAGGTTCAATTCTGGTTAAGGGCACATCACATGCCTGTGTTGTGGGCTTGATCCCCAGTAGGGGGCATTCATCACTGATGTTTCTATATTTCTCTTCCTCTCCCTCTCTGAATTCAATATATATTTTAAAAAATGGCAAAAGACCTAAATAGACTCTTCTCCAAAGTGGACATATATTGTAGATGGCCAAGATGCATATGGAAAAATGCTCAAAGTCACTGATCATCAGAGAGATGCAAATTAAAATGACAATGAGGTATTACCTCACACCAATCAGAATGGCTACCATCAACAAATGACAAGTGCTGGCAAGGATGTGGAGAAAAGGTAACTCTAGTACACTGCTGGTGGGAATGCAGACTGGTGCAGCCATTAAGGAAAACAGTATGGAGTTTTCTGAAAAAAATCACTGCCATCTGATCCAATGATCCCACTTCTAGGAATATATCTTAAGAAACCCAAAACACCAATCAGAAAAAATGTATGCACCTCTACGTTTATAGCAGTGCAATTTATAATAGCTACGATCTGGAAACAGCCCAATTGCCCATCAGTAGATGAGTGGATAAAAAAGCTGTGGTACATTTACATCAGGGAATACTATGCAGTAGTTTAGAAAAAATAGGGTCTCTTATCCTTTGAGACAGCATGGAGGAACCTGGAAAGTATTATGCTAAGCAAAATAAGCCAGTCAGAGACAGACAAGTATCACATGATCTCACTCATATGTGGCATCTAATGAACAAAATAAACTGATGAACAAAATAGATCCAAAGACATAGAAGCATAGAACGGACTGTGGAATCTCAGAGGGAAGAAGGGGGAGGGTGGGTAGGTGGGTAGAGATCAACCAAAGAACTTGTATGCATACATGCATAACCCATGGACACAGACAATAAGGTGGTGAAGGCCTGGGGTGGGGGCAGGCTAGAAGGGATCAATGGAGGAAAAGGGGGATATATGTAATACTTTCAACAATAAAATTTAATTTTAAAAAAATAGAATAGAAAGAGAGCATCCACATAATGAAGCTAAGTATAGTTTACATGCAACTTTTAATTATTCGTATGTGTAATTCGTGTCTCCATAAGAATTACTTAGGGCTGTTGACAAAAGTGCAGGTGGTCAGTGTGGCTCAGTTGGTTGGAGCATCTTCCCATACACCAAAAGGTCCCAGGTTCAATTCCTGGTCCTGGCATATACCCAAGGTTGTGGATTCAATCCCAGGTTGGAAGAGTGCAGGAGGCAACTACCTGATGTTTCTCTCCCCATCCTCTCTCAAAAAGGAAAAAAAAAATTAAAAAAAATGCAGGTGCCTAGATTCCACACCCAAAATTTTGGAGGGGTTCAAGAATCTGGATTTTGAACAAGAATCTGGATTTTGAACAAGGACTGGTGGACTGTAGACTGTGCTTTCAGACACAACAGGATAGATGCTCTTGAGAAGTAAATGGTCTACAGCTAAGTGACCAACTTAAGAAAGACCCGAGGTTTTCTTTCTTCCAGCACCATGGGAAATGTTTTACATATATTATCTCATTTAAATATGTCACACAGGCCCAGCCAGTGTGTCTCAGTAGTTGAGTGTCGACCCATGAACCAAGAGATCAGTGGTTCGATTCTCAGTCAGGGCATATGCCCAGGTTGCGGGCTCAATTCCCCAGTAGGGGGTGTGCAGGCAGCAGCCAATCAATTTTTCTCATCAATTTTTCTCCCTCTAACCCTCTCCCTTCCTCTCTCTAAAATCAATAAAAAACATTTAAAAATATGTCATACTCTACAGGTTTCCTCATTAATGTGTTAAATAAAATCATTAATATCTGTTTACTATATATCTGTTGGAAAGCCATGATGTCATCTATTTAAAAATGATCCTTTAACAATCCATTAACATATCATATAACAAGTTTCAGATACTTTGGGGTATTGTGGGGACTTTAAGAGGAGAGTAACTTGAGCAAATTTATAAGTAGTTCAGGTAAATTCTGGTGGGGTGAGCTTCCTGGGAATGGCTTCCATACCTCAGGACAGCAAATACCAGATTTTAAAAAATTCAATCTGAGATTCCTTATGAAGATTTCCAGCAAAGCAAACTCAAGAAAGCCTCTATGGTAAATTAACACACTTACTGCACCTAGGCAAATAATCAAGCCAAAGCTAATGAGACCAGCCTTATTTCATTATCAAAAATATCTTTCATTGAGATAGGCAAATAATCAAGCCAAAGCTAATGAGACCAGCCTTATTTCATTATCAAAAATATCTTTCGTTGAGATAGGCAAATAATCAAGCCAAAGCTAATGAGACCAGCCTTATTTCATTATCAAAAATATCTTTGAGATTATGAAAGAATAAGGAAAATTTGTTCTTCAGTGGAAAACTATGCATTGTCTAGAACACATCCTTCCAGGCTATATAAATCTAGCCTTTCAGTACCTTTGAGCTATTTTTACAACTCTATACATTATAGAGAATAATGAGAACTAGGAACTGATAGTCTACAGACAATAAACTCCCTCTCTCCACATAAATAAATATGGACATGTAAATGATTTTTCCGACTGTGGAAGAAACCAGTTTTGCCTCCATCTGCACATCCATTTCAATATTCCTGATCTGTAGTCTTCTAGAATCTTCCTTGGGTTCTCTTGCAAACTGGCTGTAAGATCTTACTGCTTCCTTTATTCAGGAGTCGAGTAAAAGCTTTCACAAGTGTTCATTTCAAATCTGTATGGAATTATGAGTTTTATTTCCTTTGTTTTGGTCTAAGGCTCTGCTTTTTAGATTGCCCTGGTCATTGGTCTTAATATCTTTGGGTACCAGTCAGCAATTTAAAAAAATTACATCAGCCATACCAATCTCTACTGCATATAATAAAAATGAGCATTATCATATAAAACTTTTATTTGTTAGACATATGTATATCTATCCTAGTGGACTCACTTTTTTTTGTTTTACTATGGATGGTCATGGTGTTGAGGTAAATACTTGGGCCCTAATGTTTATTTTGTAGTATTTAATTTTCACTCAATAGGGATTTCTTGAGTGTCTAGAATGTTTTTAAGTCAGACAGATGTAAATGGAAAGTTCAAGAGCTTCATAATTTATGGTTGATCACTCTCTTATCCTTTCTCCCCTTCCCCCAAAACCAAGGTACAGAGCAATTTGAGGGCAGTATTCAGACTGCCTGCTTTGAAAATGTTGTCCTGCTGGTGGTTACAAAGGCCTGTTTAAAACTAACACTAGGAGATATCCCTGCGTCCAAGCCTTAATCAGTAAGATCTTGAAAGGCAGAGCCTGGCTCAGCAATTGATGGTGGATCAACAGAATTACCTTCATACAAGAGGGCGACAACTACTTCCTCAGGTGCCAACACCCAGGTCCTTGGCGCTGGCTTGCTGGGTGGGACACCTGGGGCAAATCCCGCCAATCCTCTGAGCTGGTTTCTCCTGTGAAACAGGAAAAGAGGCAGATGAGACGGTGTATGTCAAATTCTCCTATAAACTGTAAACCTCTGCACAAGAACAAGGTATTCTCTGTACAGGCCCCAATAGGGGTCCTGAAGAGTAGGAAGAGAAGAGAGAATGATGTCTGAAAAAGCTCCTGGATGAGCCCTAGCAAGGTACCGTGTTTCCCCGAAAATAAGACATCCTCCGAAAATAAGACCTAGCGCAACGTTGGGGGAAAAAAAATTAATATAAGACACTGTCTTATTTTTGAGGAAACAGGGTAGCTCAATTGGTTGGAGCATCATTCTGATAAGCCAAGGTTTTGGGTTCGATCCCAGGTCAGGGCACATACAAGAATCAACCGGTGAATACTACATAAGTGGGATAACAAATCGATGCTTCTCTCTTTCCTTTCCTCTCTCTAAAATCAGTTGGATGATTCCAATTGCTGTCCTCCCACCTTCCCCTACTGATGAGCTTTGCAGGTTACAGTGCACACTGGCTGGCCCAAGAACCCTCCTATGACTATAGGCACCACTCTCGGTGTATATAGACATTATTCTCGGGAGAGCTTGCAGGTGGCAGTGATCAAGAGTAAGAACTGCTATTCTAAGGCAAGGCTTCTCAAGCTCAGCACCAGTGGTATTTGCACCAGATAATTCTTTTTTTAAATTAAGGTATTATATATGTACATATCTTACCATTGCGCCCTCCCCCCCTCTTCCATACATGCCCTCCCTCCCCAGAATTTGCGTCCATTGGTTATGCTTATATGCATGCATACAAGTCTTCGGTTGATCTCTTATCTCCCTGCGCCAGATAATTCTTTGTTGAGGGAGCAGTCCTGGGCAACGAAGGATATTTAACGAGCACCCAGGCCTCTGCCTGCTGGATGCCAGGAGCACCTCCCAATCCCGACAACCAGCATTGTAAATGTCCCCTGGGAAACACTGCTCCAAAACAACATAGAGACACCCTATAGGAAGAGAGATTGCAGCCAACGTACTCCCACCCCCGACCCCCGTCAGAACCTTAGCTAGTTTTAGCCCTCTCTCACCAGGCCTAACGAGTCCTCACATCTCATTCTCTCTCCACCTTCCATGTCTTCTGAGGACTTCAATCCCCGCCCCTGCCCCAATGGCCTTCCCCTCTGGCTCCAGGTCCTTCCAATTCTCCCTACGCAATGCAGTGCCTACTGGTTAATCTTCCTAAAGTTCAACTTTAATCATTCCTCTCTCCAATAAAAGTCATCTGTCTCTGTTATAAAAGCTCCACAATCTAGCACCAACCTCACACACTATTTCTCTCCCCCTCACTCTCCCCCCTTCCCCACATCCCCGTCTGACTAAGGGCTTTTGGAAGAGGAACAAGAGAAACCTGATTGAATCAAGCCAGAAAATCCAAACCAAATCCTGGAAATGCTTTTGGCCTTGAGAACCAGAAATGTCAAAATAATACGGTTACACGTGATTCTCTAATTATTGGAGCTCAGCATTCTCCAAAGGCCAAAGCGGCTAACGGAAGTGAAAGACGGATGGTTAAGACAAGCATTTTGAACCACGGTCACACGGATTAGGCACTGGAATCGATTTCATGGGTTAGCAATGGTTTTCTGGAATGGAAAGAATAGAACAGAATAGAATAGAACGGAATGGAATGTGAAGTATCTCCCTTTAAAAGTAATCTTTCCTTAGTCTACATCTACAGGCACAGGGTCTGCGTGTAAAACATATTTCTCAGTGTAAGTTGAATACAGGTTGAAAGCCACAGTGGACAATCTACAATACATAAATAACCAACAGTGGGAAGGAGGGATGCAGCCACAGCAAAAGTGCAAGGTCACTCACTCACTGGTACCGCCAGAGCCGCAAAGATGGGTGCCAGGAGGGAGGCAGGGTGCGGTGGGGTGGACACCGCCGGGGGAGACGGGCAAATGTGGGGCTCCCAGATTTGGGGTGTCAGGGCTCAGCCCCAGGGTGGGGAGTGTTGGAGAAAGAAGGGCGAGAGGTAAGGAGGCGAATCCCGGGAGCAGGACAAGGAGGCGGCCTAAGCGCCGGTACTCAAAGCCTGGGGACCCCTCCCCCAGCAGCAGCAGCCCTGGGGGCCGCGGGGACAGGGGCGTCCGCGCCATGGCACCGGGGACCCTCCCCGACCCGCTGGTACCCGTCCTCACCGGGCACCGGCCGGGTGGCGAGGCGGCGGGGCCTCTTTCTCCGGGGCCGCGCCGCGGCGGGTCCTTGGGCCTCGGCCGCTGCAGTCGCGGCGGCGTCCACCTTGCGGCCCAGGCCCCTCAGGCCGGCGCCGCACGAGCTCCGGATCCCTGCCCCCACCTGCCTTCTCCGGGGGCGAGCCCCGCGCCCGCGCGCCGGCCCAGGGGTGGCGGGGAGCGCGTCAGCCGCGGGGGGCGGCGGTGGGGGGCCCGGCCTCGGAGGACGCCTAGGCGAGCTCCCAGGGAGCCCGCGCGGCAGCGCCCATCGAGGCCGAATCCGCTGCTCCGGGTCTTCCGTGCGCTGCGCGAAGCGGGCCGCCCAGCCAATCGGCGAGGGGGGCGGGGCCAGGGCTCTCGAAAGGGGCGGGGAAATCCCGGGATTGGGTGGCGGCGTGTGGGCGGAGCCTCAGCGGGACTTGTGCCTCAGACGGGGGTCCGAAGCTCGCGGGTCTCGGACTAGTGGGTGCGGGAGGGGGGCGGAGGGGTTAATTGGGAACCCCGGACCCCCCTCCCCGGGACTTGACCTCGCGCTTACAAAGGGGGAGCAGAAGGAAGGTGCTTATGCTCCTCCCCAAGCTGGGCCAATTTGAGATTCAAAATGAATAGGAATAATGGATTATAACCTTGAATAGAGTAAGAATCTATGAGTCAATACCGATGTAAATAAGTAAATGGGGAGGAGAAAAGCTCTTGCTTGTAGTAGGTAGCCAAATACATACATACATACATATATATATATATATATACACACATACATATATATATTTTCAATATATATATATATATATATATATATATATATATATATATATATATATATATATATAGTTTATTTTACATGTGATTGCCTCCTTAATTTATTTTCCTATTGGGCATCTCGTTTCTTTTTCTTTCTTTTTTTTTTAACATATTTAATTGATTTTTTACAGAGAGGATGAGAGAGGGATAGAGAGTTAGAAACATCGATGAGAGAATCATTGATCAGATGCCTCCTGCACACTCCCTACTGGGGTTGTGCTCGCAAACAAGGTACATGCCCTTGACCGGAATCGAACCTGGGACCTTTCAGTCCGCAGGCCGACGCTATATCCACTGAGCGGGCATCTCTTTTCTAAATCTATGTAAATATATTGCTGCTGTGGCTGGCATCATTCTTAACATTTGGGGAATCTGGTGAAGAATACATGGGAATCCTTTGTACACTGCTTGAAATGTTTCTCTGGGTGTGGGATTATGTCAAAATAAAACGTCAGACAAACAAAAATAACCACCCCTTCGACATGCCGGGGAGGAAAACACATATTCCGCATTGATCGGACCCTCTCTCGCCGATTGGTCCAACCTTGGCCCTTTGGTCCCGACCTTGTCCATTCGTCCAGCGGCCTCCCTTCGCACAGCCACAGGACACTTGTCATTCTCCGACCCCCCTGTGCGTGGGGACCGGGACTGGCCGAGCGTGGGGAGCTGCGTGGGCACCTGGCGAGTGGCAGCAGGAGCGGCCCCAGACTCGAAGCTCCTGCACGTCGTCCCCACGCGCCTCCCCTCCCCTCTGCTCGGTGTCCCGGCCCCTCGTTCATCGCAACCCTCCCAGCCCCCTCCCTGGGTCCCCTCCCTCCCTCTGCTCCCCTCCCCCAGTCTTCCAGCGGCGCGGCCGCGGCCTCGGCCTCGGAGTTTGCAGATTGAAGACGCTGCTTCTAAGAAATTCCACGCTCTTCAGACACCCCCTCCCTCCGGTCGCTCGGAAGCAGCTGCTGGGAGCGCCCCCTGGCGCCGGCAGGTGGAGGTGCAGGACGCACGGCGCCCTCCAGCCCTGGGTCTCCTGCGCGCTCCCGGTTTCCATGTTCTCCGCTCCCTCCGCGCGCTCCATGGCGTCTCTTTCTCCCCCGCATCCTTTCCAACCCTGACGTTTTCAGGCCTCCGCCTTCCGCCCGCACCTCCAGGTCTTCCGCCCAGCTCCGATCTCTGCCCTCCGCCTGCCCTTGGCGCCCCGTGCCCCCCACACCACGCCCCTCGCTGCCCGCCCTCCCTGTTCTCACCCGGCACCTCGGAGACCACCGCCCACAAAGCCCCCGCCTCGGAGGTGTTCATTGAGCTTCTGTTATGGGGGCGGGGCAGGACGCAGTGGACACAAACTCTGGGTTAATGGTCTTAGTAGTACATGCTTATTGAATGTAAACTGTAAATGAAAGACACATTTTAAATTAAAATTTTTTAATTGCTATGGGAGGAATAAAACGGGGAGGAGGGGTGGCTGCAATGGGTGCTAGACTTTAGGTAGTAAGATGACAAAGAAGCTAGGATGTCGCTCGCGTTCTCCTGGGATTGGGCCACCTGCCGGGCCATCGCCCATCCCCTCCGCCTGCGGAAGGCCTCTCAGAGCCGCTGCCCGGTCCTCAGGGTGCGGGTGTGCGTCCTGGGCGTCCCGGGTCTGCAGGAGGGACTGAGGCTGCAGGACAGCGGTCGTCCCGGCCCGCCCGGGTACTGGGGAGGCGCCTGGGTCTCCACTGGGTCAGCGGCCCCTCCCCGCCCCCGCCTGCTCCGGGCTGCCCTGCGAAGTCGCGGCGGATGGGAAACCTGGGCTCCCAGGACAGCTCTGAAAAGCAACCAAGGGAAATACAACCCCAAGGAGAAAACACGCATAAGCTGTGCACACAAGTGGAGGGTGCTAGTATTTCCGTTTTTCTAATCCTCACCCGAGGAAAAAAAATGGATACATATGTGTCTAAAATTTAGCCCTAGCCGGGTTTACTCAATGAGTAGAGCTTGGGCCTGCGGACTAAATCAAAGGATCCCGGGTTCGGTTCTGGTTGCGCACGAAAGGGGCCATGTGCTCACCTGACTAGCTCAGGGAAGGCCTGCATGGCGGTTGTGTAAACTCAAGGCCTAAAACAACCACGAAGGATGGTCTGAAAATTAAATCTTTAACTATAAGCAGGTTGTGGTGGGTAGTCTCGTCCTGGACCAGTATTTTCCCTGACAAAGACCCTTTGCTGAGCCTTTTGTCTTTTTGCATCTAAAATAACATACCTGTGCCGAAACCGGTTTGGCTCAGTGGATAGAGCATTGGCCTGCGGACTGAAAGGTCCCAGGTTCGATTCCAATCAAGGGCATGTACCTTGGTTGCAGGCACATCCCCAGTGGGGGGTGTGCAGGAGGCAGCTGATTGATGTCTCTCTCTCTCATCAATGTTTCTAGCTCTCTATCCCTCTACGTTCCTCTCTGTAAAAATTATATTTAAATAAATATATAAAATATATTTTTAAAAAATAAAATAAAATAACGTACCTGTGAAATGTCTGGGTAACTTGTAACTTCCCTTTTTCCGGACCCCCCAGGGCACAACAAATGGCACTCACTCATTGTTATTGTCATGTTAATCGTCAACTGCTAACTGTGTTAACCACCCTGTATCCATCTACATAAAAGAAGCTAGTCCATCATTTCACTTTTTATCCTATCCCAGAGGTTTCCCGCTTTGCTTTCTCCCACCTCCCTAATCTATCACCAATGAATTCATGTAACATTCCTTTTGATGGTAATTTATAAAAACGTAGTACGGCCCTAGACGTTTTTTTTGGTTCAGTGGATAGAGTGTTGGCCTGCGGACTGAAGGGTCCCAGGTTCAGTTCTGGCCAAGGGCACATGTCTGGGATTGAGGGCTCCATCCCCAGTAGGGGGCATGCAGGAGGCAGCTAATCAATGATTCTCTCATTGATGTTTCTCTCTCCCTCTCCCTTCCTCTCTAAAAATCAATAAAAATATATATTTAAAAAACACAAAAAAAAAACAACAAAGTATGAACTCCCCATTCTCCAGAGCATATCCCAATCTGTTGAGATTCTTCCTGGCAATTGTCGACAGATTGGCTCAAATAAACTCACAACATTCTTCACAGGGCTGAATGGTTTTTACGTTAACATGGTCAAAGGCCCTTTGGAGTCCGTGCAGGAGGCAACCCGTGGGTGTGTTTCTGTCTTTCCCTCTCCTTTCGCTCTCTCTAAAAGTCAATGGAAAAATATCCTTGGGTGAGGATTTAAAATATAGATAGATAGACAGACAGACAGACAGACAGAGACAGAGACGAAGGAGAAATACCCCTGTAAGAAACACCCATCGGTTGCCTCCCATAGGACCAGAATGCGTCACTTTCCCCTGACCTTCTCCTTGGATTAATTGCCCTTGGTACGTGGCACTGTCCTCTCAGCTGGGAAGGCTGGTACTCTCCCCACAGGCCCTGTCCTCCTCAGTGGGTTTCCAGCCCCCCTTTGGACCCTACCAGTCCATCCTCAAGCTCCGGGGGGAGTTTTGTGTAATGATGCCGACCATGACCCTTCTCTTCATGAATCCGTCCCGACCTCCCACCTGTGATGAATCTGAAACCCGCACTGTGGCCTCCAGGCCCTGAGCCACCCACCTCTGCTAACCATTCCTGCCTATTGGTCTTCCTGCCCAGCTCCATCCGGGCCCTGGGCTCAACCCTCCCCCCCACTACTTCCCCCTTCAACTCCCTCTCGGGGCTTTCTCAGGCTGCCCTCCATGAGCCCATGGAGCCAGGCCCCTGCCAGACACCGTGGGCGGCCCTTTGCCCCAGCTTTCATGGACTTACCGGTCAGGAAGTTCTGTGTTTCCTGTCTGGTCCTGGGAGGCCAGCGCTGTGACTTGTTTATCACTAGATCCCAGACACCCTGTCCTGGACAGACTTTAAGGAAGTGGAAGGGCCAGAAAGTGGTAGGAGAGAGAGGAAAGGGGGGAGAAATGAGGCTGAGCCTGGGTGAGTCAGACCAGGTCCCCTGCACTGCTCCTTTAGCGTTGACACTTGCATAGGAACTTGAAATGTTTCAAACCAAAGAAAATCTTTTTTTTTTTTTTTTAAATATATTTTATTGATTTTGTACAGAGAGGAAGGGAGAGAGATAGAGAGTTAGAAACATCGATGAGAGAGAGTCATCGATCAGTTGCCTCTTGCACACCCCCTACTGGGGATATGCCCGCAACCAAGGTACATGCCTTGACCGGAATCGAACCCGGGTCCCTTCAGTCCCCAAGCCGACGCTCTATCCATTGAGCTAAACCGGTCCCTGCTCAAACCAAAGAAAATCTTGACACTGCTGGCCCGACTGTGTGTTCCCGGCGTGGCTCAGCCCATGGCACTGAACATCTTCCAGGCAGATGACGGCCACTCGGGAGGGAGATGGGCCTTTGCTGTGCCTTCGCTGTGCCTTCACCCGGGGCCCCCAAGTCAGCCAGGCCCCTCACTGGGGACATGAGTGCCCACTCAGCCTGAAGCTCCCTGGCAGCAGCAGGAGGGGTCCATGATGCCACACTGAAGGGAGTGGGCAGGCCGGGCCATTCCTCTCTCCCCGCCCAGGCTGGGCCTGCCCAGACACCAGGCTGAGTGGGATGAAGCCACGCCTTGCCTGCCCCCCTCCCGTCCCTCCCTCCCCTCCCTCCCCTCCCCTCCCCTCCCCTCCCCTCCCCTCCCTTTCCCTCCCCTCCCCTCTCCTCTCCTCTCCTCTCTTCCCCTCTCCTCTCCTCTCTTCTCCTGCACTCCTGCTTCCCAGGCGGCACTCCACCATCACACGTTAGGTCCTGAGCAACTCCTCCTACGTTCTTACCATCAGACAGAACCTGCCCCCCAAAGGATGACTCAGAACGGAGGAAAGGAGGAACTGGTGGGTAGGAACCTATCTAAATCTAGCAGTAAGACAAAAGGACATCTCAAATTATGGTTGCAGAATATAAATGTTACAGACAAACATGCTCTAAAAATAAAACAGCGAAGTGGAGAGCTGGCAAGGAAAACGTGCTGAGCAACTAGCTCTCCTAAGATGGTGCAATAGCTATTGATTACATTTAGAGAGTGGTGTTCTAAAACATAAGGTCTCTAAACCCTATTTTACAAATACTAGTAAGCCCAGCCGGCGTAGCTCAGTGATTGAGCGTCGACCTATGAACCAGGAGGTCACGGTTGGATTCCCAGTCAGGGCACATGCCCGGATTGTGGGCTCAATCTCCAGTGTGGGGGCGTGCAGGAAGCAGCCAATTAACAATTCTCTCTCATCATTGATGTTCCTATCTCCCTCTCCCCTCCTCTCTGAAATCAATAAAAATAATTTTTTCTAAAAAACAAGCCATTTCTTGTGCCCAGTGGCAGTTTGCAAATAACTAGGGCCACTTGTGGTGAAGCAACCGCGGCTGGGGGCCTCTCGGGGACCCTGACTTCCGGTGGGAGGAGAACTGTGGAATTCACCTCCCACCTCCTCCCGCAGTGGCAGCACCAGGGGCTAGGGAGGGGTTCAGGCTCCTGATCATCTCTCAGCCCCCAGCCCACCTAGAAGGAACATGATGGGAGCACCACACCTTTATCAGGGACCACACCCCAGACTGCAGGCCCTGCTCAGCAGAACCCGGGGCTGCGGTGATGGCAGAGCCCCTGTGTGAGGGGCTATCAGTCCAGTGCGGCTGCCTGGAGGAGGTGGGCCTCCTGAGGCTCCAGCGAGGGGACAGGCCTGGAGGGAGTCAGGGCGGTGGCTGGTCAGCTTCCTAGGGGGTCAGGGCTGGAGGTCCCACTGCCCCTTTCAGACCAAGGCAGAAGGAAGGGAACCTCAGAGACCCACGTGATCTCTTGGCCAGGGGCTGGGTTTCCAGATCGAAGGAGCCCCGGGGTGTGAGGGTCTGGGGGACGGAGGCCCTTGAGAGCCCCCCTGAGTCTGAAAGATAGCCCAATCCGGGCAGCCCTGGGGAAGGACCATGTGAGGGCTGCTGGGGTTGGAGTTGGGCCTCAAAGGACCCAAAATCCTGGAATTTTTACAACCTGCTCATGATAGGATCTAGCATATATTTTATTTTATTTTATTTTATTTTATTTTATTTTATTTTATTTTAATCTTTCATTCTGCTTACAAAAGTAACTTGAGCTTGAGCTGAAAAACATTACACAATGTTGTCAGTGAAAATCAGCTGGGGCTGGGCCCCAGGCAGGAGAAGTCACAGCCAAGTTCACTGAGCCATCAAGGACGCCTGCCGGCCGTTGCCAGGGTTACGGAGTCTCGCTGGGCCCCACGGAGGACTCCTCCCCGCCCACTGTGGGGCTGGGAGCGGGCCCCCCTGCCAACCTTCTGTCTTCTTTTCCTTCTGGAAGAGAATGGGGTGGGTCAGGAGGGTTCAGGGGGAAAGAAGGGGTGAGGGTGTGGCACAGACCGGATTCCCTGAGCTCTCAGCCCACCAGGCAATGATCTGGGCACCACCTACCGACTTAGAACATTGTCAACTGCAGACACACGCTCCCAAAGGCCACAGAGGCTGCTAAAGTCACTTCCAGGAAACTCGGGGCCAAATCTGGGCTGAGGAGTAGGAAGCTGATGCTATGCCCAGGGCCTGGCCAGGGATGGAGCCAGAGTGGGAGAAGGTGGGATGGCAGCTGAGGGGGTTGTTGACCTGCTGCAGTACCTGCAAGGGAGCCTGTGGGGCAGAGAGACAGCCCCGAGGGCCACTTGTGGTGAAGCAACTGAGGCCGGGGGCCTCCAGGGGCCCCTGACTTCCGGTGGGAGGAGAACTGGGGTTCCTCCCTTCCTCCTCCAGCAGGGGCAGCACGGGGTGCTAGGGAGGGGTCAGGAGTACCTGCTCTCCATCTCTCCATCTGAGGAGGGTGGCTTTGGTTCGAATTCTCACAGTAGCGTGTATGGGGTAGAGCTTATCTGGCCGCAGAACCTGGCAGATGCCTGAGCTGAGGTCTCAGAGCGGGAGGAAAGACCCTGGAGCTGGCCCAGCCCACTGAGTTGAGTGGGAAGACAGACTCTGAGCCCGATGTCCCCCTTCACCCTCTGCAGGGACCCGCTGTGGCCTCAGAGTAGAAACTTGGCCTCTGAATCCTGCTTCCCAACAGGTCATGGGACAGCACCCTCCTCCCCCTGGGGCCGGCAGGAGGAAGCAGGTATGCACACGGAGGCCCCGAACCAGAACTGGCTGGTACAGGTGCTCACAGGGTGCATTGGGCACACTGCAGAGGGGCCTCCAGGTTCTGGGGAGATAGGATCCCCAATTGCCTGATTACAGCTCCTATCCAACAGGGGATGGAGGGTGAGGGGGTCCTCAGGCCTGTAGCTGAGAGTCCCCATCTCAGGAGCCTTAATGTCTCAACCTTGGGGAAGCAGTAGGGCCCCCTCCCCTGGCTTCAGAGCACTCACCACTATTCCCATCTACGAGGAGAGGTCCCTGTACTGCCAGCTACCTGATGGAAACCAGGAAGCTCTGGTTCCCCTTTCCCGGACTGGCTACCAAGCCCAGTGCCCTGACTCCAAGGAGGCCGCCCGTGCATAGGCAGCAAATAGGGCCAGCTGCGGCGGGTTTTTCTCTATCTTCTTAGGGCACAGCAGACCCTATTTCTGGTTGGGAAGAAACCTCAGCGCATCTCCTTCCCAGCTACTAGGCATCCCCTCCCCCAGGCATCCCTCAGGTTCCCATGTTCCAGTCACTGGCAACAAGTCTGGGGCTTCAAATAGACTTTGGCACAAAAATATGCACACACAGACCCCCATAAATACACAAATACACAAGAGCAGACAATGGGCAGTGGGTTTGATCCCCCGTCAAGTGCACATACCTCGGTTGCAGGCTCGATCCCTAGTCTGGATTAGGGTGTGTGCAGGAGGCAATCAATCAATGTGACTCTCTTACATCAATTTTTTTTTTTCTCTCTCTCCCCCTCCTCCCTCCCTTCAATTCTCTAAAAATCAGTGGAGCCTTAACCAGTTTGGCTCAGTGGATAGAGCGTTGACCTGTGGACTGAAAAGTCCCAGGTTCGATTCTGGTCAAGGGCATGTACCTTGGTTGCAGGCACAGTCCCAGTGGGGGGTATGCAGGAGGCAGCTTGTCGATGTTTCTCTCTCATCGATGTTTCTAACTCTATCCCTCTCCCTTCCTCTCTGTAAAAAATCAATAGAATGTTTAAAAAAATATAATAAAAATAAAAATCGGTGGAAAAGGTGAGGATTAAAAAAAAAAAAAAGAGCAGACAGAAAATAGGCCCAGGACATAGACACACAAAGACACACACACGGAGACATACTTTCCCAGGCAAATACATAGAACCCTAGACACACATGCATGGAGGCTACAGACACGCAGACATGCAGACACGCTCCCAGCACAGGCAGCCCAGCCTGCCTGTCCCCTCGGAGGTGCCGTGTCAGGGACCCCCAGCCCAGGGAGGTTTCGCTCGGTTTTGCTCGCTGGGCCGAGGGCCTCACCTGCATCCAGCTTCCTGCGTTTCTGCTCGGGCTCCTGGGGGGCCGCTTCGATGGCGCGCTGGGGCTCGGGGTGGATCGTGAGCAGGGCCTTGGCCAGGGTGGTGGGGCCGGGCACCCCCAGAGACATGATGCAGTGCACCCCTCTGCGCTTGGCCGCGGCCACTTTGTCGCTGTCCTTGGACGCTGTCAGCAGGACCAGCTTGGAGAACTTCCTGGGCTTCTTGGGAGCAGCCGTGGGGACGACATCTGTGCCCGGCTCGGGGCCCTGTGGGCGCGGCTCCTGGCCAGCCTTCACGCTCTCGCCCTCCTGCTCGCTGGGCTCAGGCAGGGGCATTTTGGGACCCACGGCCGGTCCCCAGGCCACACTCAGGCTCCAGGAAATGGATTTCTCCTCCTTCTTCCTGGCAGTCCTGGGGCTCTGTCCTAAAGGAGAAAGCAAAGCCCCATCAGTGAAGCCGGGGCTGGAGGAGAATGGGTCTGGGGCGCCGTTTGGGGCACCACGATGGGCAAGGACCCAAATGGGGCTGGAGAAGCAGGGGCCAGCTCCTCTCTTCCCAGACATCACCTCCTCCATCCAAACCTCCCCTCCCCACGTGTAAGTGTGCTTTTACGATTAAGTCCCGCCGTTGGGGGGGCGGGGGGCGGGGAGGCTGTTGGGGATTAAGATACTGATAACGGCCGAAACCTGTTTGGCTCAGAGGATAGAGTGTTGGCCTGTGGACTCAAGGGTCCCAGGTTTGATTCCGATCAAGGTCACGTACCTTGGTTGTGGGCACATCCCCAATAGGGGGTGTGCAAGAGGCAGCTGATCGATGATTCTCTCTCATCGATGTTTCTCTCTATCCCTCTCTCTTCCTCTCTGAAAAAATCAATAAAATATATATATATATATTTTAAGATAAAAAAATATATTTTATTTATATATATAAAGATACTGATAACTGTTACTGCAAACCCAGGTGCATGGGTGCTGAGCATTAAGTGACATGTTTCATGTTTTTTCCATTTAAGCTCCCGCCCCATGTTATGAAAGTCCGCCATTCTCACCGACCCAGGTTACAGGTGAGGGCACAGAGCTGCCAGGGCGGCCAGCACAGCCAGGGAGCCGCAGAGCTGGGAGGCCGGCTGGGGAGGAGCTGGAGCCCACCCCCACGGTGCCCGGCACACCGTGTCCAGGATGACAGCCACTGGCGTTCCTGAGCACCCAGCACCAGCGACAAGCACTGGGGACATGAGCTCAGGTCACCGACCTTCCCGGAGTTGCCAGCGCCCCTTCGCCCTGACGCTCTGCAGACCACAGCGCTCCTGGCCCTGAGAGGCGGGACTCTGGACTCACAGCTGGATCCTGTGCCCACCCCAGGCGGGGGGCCAGGGCCCCCTGAAGGCAGCGACCTTGTGCTGGAGCTGGCGCTGGCTCTGTCGCAGCCGCAGCGGGGCGGGGACGGCTGTGCAGCTGTCCGGAGGGTCCGTGGTCACTGAGGGCTCCCTGGCTGCTGGCCTGGAGAAGCAGAAAGGACAGATTACAGGGAAAGACCATGGCCATGGGGCATAAGCATGGGTGGCCTTTTTTTGTTTTGGGGGCAAGTAGGTGGTGAGCGGATGGCAGGTCTTCCCAGGTTACCGTGCTAGCCAGAAATAATGCCACAGCCTGGGGAGACATCTTGCCCACCCTGCCCAGGCCCAGGCTTCGGCAAAGCCCACACATGCCTCCTGGCACCCTCGGTTCTCACCGTCTCCTTTCTCCTGTGTCCTCACGTGGTCGTCCCTGTGTGTGTCCACATCCTAATATGGTCTTTTAAAAAAATATATTTTATCGATTTTTTTTTACAGAGAGGAAGAGAGAGGGATAGAGAGAAACATCGATGAGAGAGAATCATCGATCAGCTGCCTCTTGCACACCCCCTACTGGGGATGTGCCCACAACCAAGGTACATGCCCTTGACTGTAATCGAACCTGGGACCTTTCAATCCGCAGACCGACGCTCTATCCACTGAGCCAAACCGGTTTCGGCCTAATATGTTCTTACAGACTCTGCCCAGATTGGATCAAACCAAACCAATGTGACACGATTTAACCTTAATCACCTCTTGAAAGGCCCTATCTCTAACACAGTCACATTCTGAGGCCTGAGGGCTAGAACTTCAACACATGGGTTTGGGGGCAGGCACAGTTCAGCCCACAGCAGCACCGAACATGGTGAGTGCCTGGTAGATCACAGCGTGTGGTAGCTCCATACCCTGACCCCAGACTTCCATGCACATGCAAACCAGAGCGTGCTCCGGGAAGGCAGGAGCATGCAGGGCCTGTGCATGACACTAGAGGCGATTTTCTCAGTAAGGAGCCCTCATGCCAGCTGGATCTTCGCACAAATGCCACCACAGTTCCAAAAGCTCTGCCTGTCATGCAGGGAGCCACATAGGCTTGTATGGATTTTTCCCCCTTGTAGGTCACCATCCAAATTTTAAAAATATGAAAAATGCTTGTGCCGAAACCAGTTTGGCTCAGTGGATAGAGTGTCGGCCTGCAGACTGGAAGGTCCCGGGTTGGATTCCAGTCAAGGGCATGAACCTTGGTTGCAGGCACATCCTCAGTGGGGGCGGTGTAAGAGGCAGCTGATCAATTTTTCTCTCTCATTGATGTTTCTAACTCTCCCCACCTCTCTCTTCCTCTCTGTGAAAAATCAATAAAATATATTTTAAAAAAGAAAAGAAAATAAAAATGCTTGTGAAAACCACCTTCATCAAGATCTTCCCATTTGAAAACATGTTCCTGCACAATAAACAGCTCCTCTATGTGGCTGGCAGCACTCTTAATTTACCCGGATTTAGTTTTCTCACCAAAGGAAAGCAAAGAGATAGATTATATTGAGGTTATTTAAAAAATTTTTTTAAATGTATTTTATTGATTTTTTTACAGAGAGGAAGGGAGAGGGAGAGAGAGTTAGAAACATTGATGAGAGAGAAACATTGATCAGCTGCCTCCTGCACACCCCCTACCGGGGATGTGCCCGCAACCAAGATACATGCCCCTGACCGGAATCGAACCAGGGACCCTTGAATCTGCAGGCCGACGCTCTATCCACTGAGCCAAAAACGGTTAGGGCTGTTTTTAAATTTTGAAGTATTTAATTGAAAAAGTAATATTGAATTCATTAAACAATAACAGTAAATCTGTATAATCGCACTTCTTATCACAAACTGCTTTCATTTCTGCACTGTTTTCTACATACATTTTTTTCACAGCTACAAGCAGAGCCTTCAAATAATCATATTTCTGTTTTCTTTCCATTTATCAGGGTAGAAACCACCAGCCTAGAGGCCGGATGGAAAGAACCCTAGGAAGTGCCAGAACAAAATTTAATTTACCCTGTAATTGTAGAAAATTCCATTTAAAGTTTAAGCAACAATATTCTAGAAGGCCACAAGATATCGATGTTGCTCCTTAAAATGAACCGTTTTTCCAAGATGAAAAAAAAGGACACAGGTTTAAAAAGGATAGAAGGTTTTGAAGTGTTTATATTTGGTTTACAAAAAAAACATTGTTAGAAAGTCCAGTGAACACATTTAGCAAAGACGATCTTTTCTCGGCTAAACAACTGTGCATTAAAAAAAAAAAAAAAAAAAAAAAAAAAAAAGATCAAGAACTTTGATCCCTGTCTTGTGTCTTTCTCTCTTAATCCACTTGTCTCTCCTTTTATTTATTCTCCATCCCAGTCATATTTATCATGCACTTACTAATTTTATTTGACCCATTCTTAACTTAGAAAGCAGGTGCTTTTTAGTCTGTTTTCAAAGAATTATAGTAAAACTAGAGGCCCAGTGCACAAATTTGTGGATGGGTGGAGGCCCCTCTGTGGGGCCTGAGGGGATCGGGCCCAAACCCGCAGTCCAATGCTGCCCGCAGCTCCTACCTGCCACTCCCGCTCCCGGCCCCACTGTGCCTGCTGCTGTCAAATCACGCCAAATCAGTCCGGATCCGGGAGAGACTCGCCCTGCTGCAGCAGGGCTGGCCAGCCGGGAGCACTGCGACCGGTGCTCTCCCGAGGGGAGTGGCCTGCAGGATCAGCTGAAACGAGCTCTCCGACCCCCTGAGGGGGTCCCGGATTGCGAGAGGGCACAGGCCAGGACAAGGGACTCACCAGCGCACGATTAGGCTGGGGAGGAACTGATGAGGGCTCCAGGGCATGTCTGGCCCCCTCTAGCCCACTCCCGATTGGGCCTGGCCAGCCAGAGAGGGACCACGGGAGGGCTCCAGGACAGATCCGGCCCATCTTGCTGAGTCCCGGATTCACTGGACCTCAGCAGCAAGCTAACCTATTAGAGCATCTGCCCCCTGGTGGTCAGTGCACATTATTGTGACTGGTTGACCAGTCAACTGTCTGCCCCCCTGATGGTCAGTGCATGTCATAGTTGTTGAGCGGCCTTAGCATATCATTAGCATATTACGCTTTGATTGGTTGAACAGTGGACTGGTCACCAGACGACCAGACACTTAGTACATTAGGCTCTTATTAGATAGGATGCATTAAAGCTAACTAAGAAGTATTCATCAAACTGTTAGCAGTGGTGAGAATGAGGGATTTCATTTTTGCTCATTTTCTTTTATAATTTCCCCCAAATTATAATGTGCATGAACTAATTTTACAATGGGAGAATATTTAACATTTAAAAAATAAGATACACTTACTGAGCTGGTAATTTTCCTTTTAGTCAACTACTTAGAAAAAAAAAAGGTCTCCATTCCTATGCAGCATAATGTCATATAAGAAAACGAAGATTAATACAAACAACTAGAATGTAAAATGAGTACAATTAAACTAGAGAGAGAGAGGAAGAGAATATGCACCCTGCCCCTCCAGCACTCCTAAACGCCATCTACAGAGGAAACTGCATCCGGGACTTCAGAGTAAGTCCTCGGGATATAACCCAAAGAATAAAACGCATACCCGTAAGCCCACACTGATATAAATGGGGGAGGAAGGACAAATCCTTTTGAAGAATTTCAAAAACACTTCCCCTTTAGGAGGTGAAGGTTAAATCTGACCTTGGTACGGGGGAAAGGATATACTTTTCACAGATGTTGAATGTTGGGACAACTGGGTATCCAATACAAAGGAATGAAGACGGACCCCTCCTCGCAGCATATACAAAAACTAACTCTAAATAAATCATAAAAGCTAGTTATAAAACTCTTTTTAAAAAAGATAGCAGTTAAGTCTTCATGCACTTGGATTGGCAATTTTTTTCTTCTTCAATATGACACCTAAAAGTACAGGCAAACAAATAGGAATCAGATAAATTGAAAAAGATTTAAAACTTTTGTGAGTCAAAGGATACTGTCAAGAAAGTTAAAAGAGCCCTGACCGATTTGGCTCAGTGGACAGAGCGTCGGCCTGCAGAACAAAGGGTCCTGGGTTCGATTATGGTCAAAGGCATGTACCTTGGTTGCAGGCACATCCCCAGTAGGAAGTGTGCAGGAGGAAACTGATTGATGTTTCTCTCTCATCAATGTTTCTAACTCTATTTTTCTCCCTTCCTCTTTGAAAAACAATCAATGAAATATGTATATTTTTTTAAAAAGACCCCACAGAGCCGAAACCGGTTTGGCTCAGTGGTAGAGCGTCAGTCTGTGGACTGAAGGCTCCCAGGTTCGATTCCGGTCAGGGGCATGTAGGTTATTTGCAGGCATATCCCTGGTAGGGGGTGTGCAAGAGGCAGCTGGTCAATGTTTCTCATTGACGTTTCTAGCTCTCTATCTCTCTCCCTTCCTTTCTGTAAAAAATTAATAAAATATATATAAAAAAAAAGACCCCACAGAGATTTTATTTTAAAAAAATAAATAAAGCCAAAACCCGTTTGGCTCAATGGTAGAGCGTCGGTCTGCGGACTGAAAGGTCCTGGGTTCGATTCCGGTCAAGGGCATGTACGTTGGTGGCGGGCACATCCCCGGTGGGGGGTGTGCAGGAGGCTGCTGGTTGGTTTCCCTCTCATCGATGTTTCTGGCTCTCTATACCTCTCTTCCTCTCTGTAAAAATCAATAAAATATATTTTTTTTAAAAAAGAGAGAGAAATACCTTTAAAAATAAAAAATAAAAAAATAAATGAAGGAAGTTAAAAGAGCCCTGGCCAGTGCAGGTCAGTTGCTTGGTGCACAGGAGATTCCCAGTCAAGGGCACATGCCGCAGTTTCAGGGGTTGTGCAGGAAGCAGGCGATCAATGTTGTGCTCTCACATCGGTGTTTCTCTCTCTCTCTCCCTCTCCCTTCATTTCTCTCTAAAAGTCAATAAACGATTTTATTTTTATAAGAAAAATTTTTTTTGGTTAATTCTCACCTGAGGATATTTTTTCCATTGATTTTTAGAGAATGGAAAGGGGTGAAGGAGGAGGGATAGAGGAGGGAGGAAGAGAGAGAGAGAGAGAGAGCAATGTGAAAGAGACATATTAAGTGGTTGCCTCCCACATGCCCCCCAACCAGGGCTGGGGATGGATCAAATCTGCAACCCAGGTATACGCCCTTGACCGGAATTGAACCCATGACCCCTTGGTCTGCAGGTCAACCTTCTAACCACTGATCAACACCAGTGGGGGATGCGTGGGGTGGAAATCAAATTATTTTTTTTTAAAGAAAGTTAAAAGATAACCCATAGAATGAGAGAAAAATTTGCAAATTACATATTTGATAAGGGTCTTGTATCAGAAATTTATAAAGAACTCTAACTCTGAAATAAAAAGGCAACCCAATTTAATATTGGGCAAAGGCTCTGAATTGGCCTTTCTGCAAAGAAGATATACAAATGGTTAGTAAGCACATGAAATGTCCCACATCATTAGTCATAAGGGAAATGCAGAACAAAGCCACAATGAGATACTACTTACCACCACTAGGATGCACATCAGCCAGATTCATCCCCACCCTTCCAGAAATTTACCTACTAGGTGTGAAGGGAAGGGTTGAGAGGCAGCTAGCTACTTTAAGCCAAATGTGTACGTTTTGAAAATTAAATTTTTACTCAGTAAAAGTTCAATCAATAAACATAATTTTAGAAAGTGAAATAGAAATGAATGAAAAGATCAAAAAGCTTAACAGTTACCTTACTTGGCTCAGTTTACACCTTTCCCCTAATTGTGTAAAGTGGTGGTTTTAGATTGCTGTGGCCTCCAGACACCCACTTACCCCAACCAGCTGTCAAGAGATTGGTCTGCACAACGGAACCCCAGCAGCGTCAAGATGACCTGTGCAAGGCCCAGCTCACACAGCGTTAGGAACTGGCAGGAGCCTCTGAGCTATCATCAGGTCTTTGGGAGGCAGTATAATGGCCCCCGACAATGTCCAGCTCCCAACCCCGGGAACCTGTGAATGTGTTACCTTACGTGGCAAAGAAGAACCAAGTTTTCAGATGGAATTAAGTAGATTAGCTTGGATTATCCAGGTGGGGCCAATCGCAAGGATCCCAAAAAGCCGAAGAGGGAAGCTGAAGAGAGTCAGGGAAAGATGTGCTGATGGAAACAGAGTCAGAGAAATTCCACCTTGCTGGCTGTAAAGATGGAGGGAGGGGGCCATGAGCCAAGGAATGCTGGAGACCTCTAGAAACTGGAAAAGGCGTGTGCACAGAGCTGTATTCCTTCCTGAGGGCTCTAGAATTCCTTGGCTCGAATGCCAAGGAATTCTAGAGCCCTCAGGAAGGAATACAGCTCTGTGCATACGCCTTGATTTGAAACCACCGAGGCCTGTATCAGACTTCCGAACCCCAGAACTGTAAGACTGTTACAAAGCTATGCTGCTTTCAGCCACTAAATCTGTGCTAATTTGTGGCTGAAGCAATAGGAAACTAAAGGGAGGTCCAGTCCCTTGTGTGAGATTCTGAAAGCTGGGAGCCCTCCCTGGCGGCTGATGATGGAGCAGCTGAATGACCTTCATGTATGTGAAAGAGAAATACCAGCAACGCCCACCGACACCTCTCTGGGCTGGTCACACCTGTGTAATGGGGATAGTGGTGAATTTAGCAGGGCTTCTTAAAAATAGATATGGGGTGCCCTAGCCAGTTTGGCCCAGCGGATAGAGCGTAGGCCTGCGGACTGAAGGGTCCCAGATTCCATTCTGGCCAAGGGCACATGCCTGCGTGCTGGTCCAGCCCGCTCAGAGGTCCACAACAGTAGGGAGCATGCAGGAGGCAGCCAATCAATGATTCTCTCTCATCATTGATGTTTATATCTCTCTCTCCCTCTTCCTTCCTCTCTGAAATCAACATATATTTAAAAACAGATAGGGGAAGGGTGAAGTGGTTGTTTTTTAGAAAGTTCCAGTAAAGCTGACAGCTGCCCCCACCTCCCACAATCTCTGTCCTGTGCGCTTCATGGAGGGCGGTGACTGGATCACTGGTGGGATGACTGTGCCGGTGCATAGCCTTACAGGGAGGTTTACAAAGCAGCAATGACCCCCAAATGGTCCAAGAACTGCTACCCTATAGTTTGCAGGGAAGAGCTTCCCCAAAGTTATTTAATTAACAAAGTTATTTAATAATTTCATGTCATAGCACTAATCACCACGGCTCGGAGCATTAGTTACTTTTATTCCTCCTTCCCCGTTGTAGTTTGACATCAGCCCTATCGATGCTGCACCCCAGTGGCCCCTGCTCCTCTCTTCTCAAGTCGTGTCCATCGCTCGCAGCCCGAGCCCCTGAGCGTCTCCCGGACCCAGGACCTCCCGCTTCGGACTCTGCCATCCCTGCAGGTGGGACGGGGTTGGGGATGGGTGCGGGAGGGAAGCAGCGCTGGGTGGGGTCACGGGAAGCAGGCTACTGTGGGGCTCCCAGATTTAGGGTGTCTGTCTGGGCTCAGTCCCGGGGTCGGTGGGGATGGGGTGAAGGAGTGAGGAAAAAGGAGGTGAATCGCTGATGAAGGACACGGAGGTGGCCTGAGCGCGGGGATGCACAGCCAGGGGGAACCCCAAGCTCAGCAGTCCTGAGGAACTCGGAAAGACCCCCGCGATGGGGAGAGGAGCATCCACGCCCTGGGACCCGGGACCCTCCCCGGCCCGCTGGGGCCCGTCCTTACCAGGCACCGGCCGCGGTGCGTGCGCAGCGGGACCCTCCGCCCCGGGACAGAGCCGCCGCGGGTCCCTGCGCTCCTGCGCCCGGCGCCCCCGCCGGCGGCGGCCGTCACCTCAGGCTGGGGTCACGGCAGGAGCATGCGCAGTCGCGCTCGGGCCCCCATTCCTGGGCAAACTCCGCTTTCCCGGGTTTTCTCCGGGCGACGCCGAGCCGCGCCACCTGGCCAATCGGCGCGCGGGGCGGGGCCGCGGCGGCCTGTCACTCACAGCCCCCGGCGAGCGGGCGGGTTGAGCCCAGACCCCCGGCCTCCCCCAGCGTGTGACCCCGGACCCTGCCGAGGCGGCGGGAGCCCCGACTTACAGCCTCGTCACTCCGGCCTCTCCCCTTCCGCTCCTCGAAGCCGCCGGCTCCGCTCAGCGAAGCATCCTGCACCGCAGCATCCTCGGGGTCGGTCCCTCCCTCGCCCGCTGGTCCAGCCCCGCTCGGAGGTCCAGCCCCGCTCAGAGGTCCAGCCCTCGCACGTCGGTCTCTCCCACACCACTAGTCACCCCTGTCCATCGGTTCAGCACTTGCCAATAAGTTCGGGCCTCGCCCATCGGCCCAGCCTTCACCATCCGCCCAGCCCTCGTCCACGGGTCTGGCCATCACCCATCGGTCCAGCCGTCGCTCAGAGGTCCCGGCCTCACCCTCGGTCCAGCCGTCGGGCCTCGCACAGCCCCTGCACACCTGTCATTCTCCGTCCCGCCCCGTGCGGTGGGGGCGGGGATTGCTCGGTGCATGGAGCTGCTTTCGTGCACGCCCGGCAGGTGGCGGCGCGGCGGCCTCAGCATCCTCGGAGTTAACGCTCACCTAGCCGCCCAGGCGCTAAGGCCCTGCCCGCCTTCCCTCTGGCTCTCCGTGTCCCCTGCCCTTCCCGCCGCTTTCGGTCACCTTCTCCGGATCGCGGAATCCCTCCATCCACCCGCTCCCCTTCGCCGGGCGGAGGGCTGGGTCTTCTGGCTGCAAGGCCTCGTCGTGTGCGACGTGGGAAGACACTGCCACGTGGCTTTTCTCTAGGAAACTCTGGGATCAAGCCCACAACCCGGGCATGTGCCCTGAGCAGGAATCAAACCATGACCTCCTGGCTCACAGGTCCAAGCTCAACCACTGAGCCACACCACCAGGCACCTCACAAGCATTTTTTTATGTAAACTTCTGACATCTCTTTCTTTAAATTCCGAAAAGAGGTCAAAGAAGGTGACTATTTTAAAGGCTTTTAAACCATGTTGCCAAAGGATGTACATATGCTTGGGGTCAGATGCCTGGATTTATAGCCCAGTCCTGGCATTTGCTAGCTGCATGAGCAATTATCGATACTTCCCCTCTGTGTTCCTGTTTTTTGTTTTGCTTTGTTTTGTTGTCGTTAATCATCACCCAAGAATATTTTTCCATTGACTTTTATAGAATGGAAGGGAGGGGGAGAGACAGAGAGAGAAACATTGATGAGAGAGAGACACTGATTGGTTGTCTTACACATGACTAGGGGACGATGGAAGCCTGGCAAGCTCCTCTCTAGGAAACTCCACGCTCCCTTGACCCCCCTTTCCTCTGCCTCCCTCCCAACCGCCCTCCCCTGCTGGCCATCTTGTGCAGCAATATTGTGTCCACATGGGGGCAGCCACACTGAGAGCTTCTGTGCTATCCAGTTTTCTACTAGGTTGATCAGTTCCTTACAGATTTAAGAAATCTTTTTTATTCAACTCAGATTAATCCTACCACTCCACATGTGAGGGGAATAGCATTTGCATTTGTGGAGGGGTTTGGAATTATAGGTATGGAGGTCATTGGCATTAATTCAACACCCATAAGCGTTTCAAAAAAGAAATCTGTTCAGTGCAAACAGCTCAACTGTAACACAGCACAGCTGTAAAAATAGCACAGCTGCTTGGAGGCCCTGATGCAAGGTGGCCCGGGGACCAGGCCCTCTCCAGATCCAATGTTTCATCTTCAGTGTTTCTGCTCTTATTCAGCTCTAGCCAGGGAAAGGCAGTGGTCAGTGGAAAAGGAAGTGTTCTCCCTGGAGAGGTCGGGGATGGGGGTGGGATGGGGGAGGCCCGGGGGAAGGTCAATGGGGAAGAAAGGGAGACATACTACTATTTGTAATACTGTGACAATAAAATAAAATTTAAAACAACAACAACAACAACAAGACACTTCATGCAATGTGTCTCTCTCTCACATCAATGTTTCTCCCAGAACTAGAGGGGAGCTAATTTATATAGATAGAAGTCCTGCCCTGGTCTCTTGATTGGTCCATCTTCATGCAAATGATACTCCAAATCCTCAAAGTTCGATTGGTCCAAAAGGCCCTGTTCTGATTGGTCAGAATGGAGCCATTCTGATTGGTCAGTGAAGAAGCTGATGGGATATAGCTGGGCAGCTCTGATTGGATGGGGAAAACCTCAGTGCTATTGGTTGAAATAGGGTTCCAGGAACTCCTTTATAAGGGCTGGTTCAGATGGCAGAAACGAAGTACAGGCAGGCCACTCGGTTCAGAGGCAGGTAGTTCAGTGCAGGTTTCTCCCTGAAAGGCAGTTTGCATGAGAGGCCACCATGTAGAAATGGCTGCTAGACACTGTTTTTATTTTTATTATTTTATTTAAATATATTTTATTGATATTTTACACAGAGGAAGGGAGAGGGATAGAGAGCTAAAAACATTGATCAGCTGCCTCCTGCACACCCCCTACTGGGGATGTGCCTGCAATCAAGGTACATTGCCCTTGACCGGAATCGAACCTGGGACCTTTCAGTCCACAGGTCGACGCTCTATCCACTGAGCCAAACCGGTTTTGGCAAGACACTGTTTCTAAAAGTTGAGCCCAGTTAGCCATCAGAAGCCCTTCTTAGTAGGTATTTTCTTTTTCAGGGTCCACAGCTTGTTTCTAGAGTTGAATCTAATGGTCTTTTCCAATTTGAGTTTCTTATTTTTTCTTTTCTTAAAATAGAATTGTTATTGATTTCAGAGAGGAAGAGAGAGAGAGAGAGAAACAATGATGATAGAGACTCACTGATTGGCTGCCTTCTGCACACCTCCTACTGGGGATTGAGCCCACAACCAGCACAATAGGAATTGAACTGTGACCTCCTGTTTCATAGATGGATGCTCAACCACTGAGCCACACCTGCTGGGCAGAGTTGTTCTTTTTTTAAAAAAAATTATTTAAATATATTTTATTGATTTTTTACAGAGAGGAAGAGAGAGGGATAGAGAGCTAGAAACATCGATGAGAGAGTAACATCTATCCACTGAGCCAAACCGGTTTCGGCTCCCACAGATTTTTAAAGAGAGTGGAAGGAAAGGGGAGAGACAGAGAGAGAAAAACATTGATGTGGAGAGACATATTGATTGATTGGAGATAGAGCCTGCAACTGAGGTACGTGTCCTTGACTGGAATCGAACAGTCGACCCTTCTGTCCTCAGGCTGACACTGTGACCAGTGAACTAGGGCAATATTTTGTGTGTATGAGTGGTGGACTCTCTTGATTTCCCCCTCTGGTGTGTCCAAGAACCCCTGACATTGTTAACCACTGGATGCAGAGGCTGCCACCTCCACGGTGTGGCTGTTTTTCAGCCAGAGGGTATAAGCGTTTAAAAGTCGTGACTGCCAAAACCGGTTTGGCTCAGTGCGTCCCTTGGAATCAGATATTGGTGGATTTTGACAGGCTATGCCCCAGGCTTCAAGTCAATGAGTACTGGGGCCTGGTCATTGGCCGGGCCAGGGGGATTTCCTTCCGTCCGGAGCAGGGAATTCTTCCTCTAATTCAGGCCCCAATGGTGAGTCCTTTGACTGGGAGGTGTAACGTCTCCCTTCTTCCTCTCTGGCCTGGGTCCTTGTAGTTTCCCTTTCTTATCTGCCTGGGAGCTTGATTCCTGAATAGCCGCCGCTATCAAGGTTGCTTTTTTTTCAGTCTCTCCTCTGTTTCCTCCTTAGGTGCCCTGTCTAGGATGCTGAAAACCTTGTTTGCTATTTCTGTCAGCTTGGTTACATTTTTCCCCCTGCAAATCCTTCAAGCTTCTGTAGCTCTCTCCTTGTATTGGGCTGAGCCTGACCTACAAGGCTACATGGACCTTGATTTGATTTTCTGGGGCTTCAGGGTCAAAAGGAGTGTAGAACCAGGGCCAGTTTGGCTCAGCGGATAGAGCGTTGGCCTGTGGACTCAAGGGTCCCAGGTTCGATTCCAGTCAGGGGCATGTACCAGTGGGGGGTGTGCAGGAGGCAGCTGATGGATGTTTCTCTCTCATCGATGTTTCTAACTCTCTACCCCTCTACCTTCCTCTCTGTAAAAAAATCAATAAAATATATTTAAAAAAATAAATGCAGAGGCCATGGAACTGTGAACAATGCACTGCCCTGGGTGGGGTGGGGTGGGGGTGGGGTTTTTATGCTGGTGCCATTGGATGTGGCCTGACACCTGGGGGCTTTCCTGCAGGGCCATGAAGGGGGCAGGAGGCATGTCTGCAAGACAAAGACCCCTCCAGCAGGACATATATAGACAGGCTCTCTGCATGTGATTTCCAAATCAGAGTGAAGAAACATGGAGAGAACCGAAACCGGTTTGGCTCAGTGGATAGAGCGTCGGCCTGCTTACTGCAAGGTCCCATTCAGTCCCAGGTTCGATTCCGGTCAAGGGCATGAACCTTGGTTGCGGGCACATCCCCATTAGGGGGTGTGCAAGAAGCAGCTGATCGATGATTCTCTCCCATCAATGTTTCTAACTCACTATCCCCTCTTTCTTCCTCTCTATAAAAAATCAATAAAATATATTTAAAAAAAGAAAGAAAGAAAGAAAAAAACATGGAGATAGCCTGTCTATAGAGAAGCACACTTTCTCTAGGAAATGTGCTTGGTTTTCTTTGGTCTTCTGTAACACCGTGACTCTGGGGAGTCAGTTTCCAAATCCTGAGTGATGAACATGGATGAAGCTTTCCCTTCATACCCGTAGCTCCTTTGTCCCCCAAATATGGGTCAGGCTTCCAGACTTTTCCGGGCTTCGCAGCCCCCTGTGAGTTGGGATGGGGCAAGTGAGATTACACTCAGAGGCCTGTCTCATGCCAGCCCTCGCCAACCCCCTTAGGCGGTTGTATATGGTTCATGGTTTATGGCATCTGTAAAATGGGAGTAGTCCGGGAAACAGGTTCTGCAAGGCAGGACAGATAAGAATGGAGTTTATTGCTCAGCCGACATGGCTCAGTAGTTGACCATCGACCTATGAACCAGGCAGTCACAGGTTCAATTCCTGGTCAGGGCACATGCTCGGGTTGTAGGCTCAATCCCCAGTAGGGGGAGTGCAAGAAGCAACTGATCCATGATTCTCTCTTATGGATGTTTCTAACTCTCCCTCTCCCTTCCTTCCTCTCTGAAATCAATAATAAAAAAGTATATATATATATATATATATATATATATATATATATAATCTTAAAAAAAAAAAGAATGGAGTTTATCAGCAAGCAAGAGTGTGCATCAGAATGCAGATTACTGGCACAGATTCAGATAGCTAGCGCCCCCCCCCCCCCAATGTCTTATTTTTCCCTTCACTGGAACTGGAGAGTGGTCAGCATTCCTGAAAAAAACTCCCAGAAGGGGTCAGGGTCAGGTTCAGGTGCAGCAACCATATCAAAACGTGTCATGGGCCGAAACCGGTTTGGCTCAGTGGTAGAGCATCATTCTGCGTTCTGAAAGGTCCCAGGTTCGATTCCAGTCAAGGGCATGTACATTGGTTGCGGGCACATCCCCGCTAGGGGGTGTGCAAGAGGCAGCTGGTCGATGTTTCTCTCTCATCAACGTTTCTAGCTCTCTATCTCTCTCCCTTCCTCCTCTCTGTAAAATATCAATAAAATATATTTAAAAAGAAAAAAACAAAAACAAAAACGTGTCATGGTGAAGCATCCATCTTATATAAAAACTGCTGTTTGAAATTTCAACCCTGCTCTTTGGCTTCTGTAAATTCTTGCTTGCTAAGACTACTCCCACTTCAGAGAAAGCCACTAAACCTTCCCCAGACAAGGTTATCAGTGTTCGCCCCAGGCCAGGCCTCTGGCTGAGGTCTCAAGGTCCCAGCACACAATGTTAAAATATGTTCAAATATGTACACAGATAATAATTTAATAAAAAATTAATTATTTTTTTTTTTAAAAAAAGGTCCCAGCACATACAGGCTCTTTAAGAACTTGCGAAAGGGCTGGAAACACTCCATATTTGGGAGACAAAGAAGGTGAAAACATACAAATAGGGAAAATTCCTGCATGTTGGGGCCCAGAATTTGAGAGACATTTTTCTCTGCACCTGCACATAATAAATGTAACTCCATCTCTCTAAGTATTGCTTTGTTCTTCCTCGGTTTTCTGTAACTGATAGATCCTCCCTTCCTCCAACTGATGGACAGAGAATGACGTAAACTCCACCTGCAGCATGGACATTCCTGAGCACCTAACAGGGCACCTTCTATGGACTGCCCATTGAACCGCCAATAAGCACCTGCCAAATACCCTAAGCCCCTAATTTAAAAAATATATATATTTTAATGATTTTTTACAGAAAGGAAGGGAGACGGCTAGAAAGTCAGAAACATCAATAAGAGACAAACATTGATCAGCCGTCTCTTGCACACCCCCTATTGGGGATGTGCCCGCAACCAAGGTACATGCCTGTAAGGTTTGAGGCCAAGGAGTTTTAAAGTAAAGTTTATTCCCCAGTAATGAACGGGACTCTTTAAGGAGGTAGAGAAATCAGAATTGAAGGAGTTGGGAGGGGGGATGGACCCAGCCGGGCTGCCACCTGGACATGGAGGATCAGCAGCATGGGGCTGGTCTGGGGGTCCTTTTTAAGGGAGGAACAAGAATAGGTTGGACCCAGGGCAGAACAGAAAGAGGTGGGCTCCAGACACTTTGGCACGTGCTGATTGATGGCTCAATGTCTTGGAGATGTCTCTGTGACAGGTGCCAGTAATGTCATAACTCCGCCCACCAGTTGGGAGGAGGGAGAACCTTATAATGCCCTTGACTGGAATCGAACCTGGGACCGTTGAGTCCGCAGGCCGAGGCTCTCTCCACTGAGTCAAACCGGTTACGGCCTAAGCCCCTAATTTCTAAGTCCCTAGGTCCTTCATCATGTGTCTTACATGAAACCACCAATCAGAGTGCCCTAAACCTCCTCCCTTCCTTTTCCTCTCCTCAAGAGGCGTGTTCACCCCGGCAGTGTGCTCTTTTCTTCTCGGAAGGCAGCCTGGCAGAGGAATTCTCCACCAACACAGCCTGTCTCCTGGGGCCCCGTCTCCGACCCCTCTGTTTCATCTTTCAGCAACAACGGGTCTGTTCTAAAAATGCTTTCCTTTCCTTTGAGTAATGGGCCCACCTAGACCTGTTTCATCCTCCAGTTTCCAGGGTCTGCAAGAAAACTTCTCATCTATCATTCATCAGACAGATGTGGCTCTGTTCTTATCACATGCCCTTCCCTGCTAACATCAGGGCTGGAGGTAGTGGCGCTGGGTCTCAAAGGACCCCGAATCCTGGGATAAAGAGTCTGGTTCTGGAAGAGTCAGGCACACAGTATGCACTCAATAAATGTGTATTTAATTCATTTTTATTTTGCTCCGAAGTTGACGTTGTTCATTATGAAAATGTAAACTGTGTATAGCATGCTGCTTCACACATTCCCTGGGAAGGTGGAGCCTTCTCCTTCTGGCCAGGGGCTTGGAAAGGCTTCCTGCCAATGCATTCTCTAGGTCTTGTTTTCACAGGGCCTGCAAAAGAGGGCGAGCATGCCAGGCAGGGCCCAGAGCTGACAATGGGAGGAGGGTCTGGGCAGTCAGTGTGAGGGGCAGCCAGACCTCCAGGCCAATGCACTACCTTCTCAGACCTGAACTGTGCCTCCCTCAAACCACCCCCAGCCCTCCCTCTTACTCGTGGGCAGCCCCATCCCCATCCCTAGCCAGCCCCAGACCTCCCCAGATGCTAATCCCAGGCTTGCTCTGACCTTATTTCAACATAGTATGCAGAGTGCGCATATGAGTACAAAGCCCACGGCTAGCACAATGGCAGCAGCCCCCTTTCCCAGGACATTCAGAGTTATAGAACCGGTTTCCTATATGGAGGAAGAAAGAGGCAGGTCATCCACAGAAATCTGCTCTGCACCTCACCATAAACCAGCTGCTTATATTGGGTAGAAGGACAAAGATTACATGGGGAAGTAGGCAAGGGTATGCCAAGTGGGCAGTTTGCAGGTAACACAGGCTGGAGATTTGCCAAGGCCTGCGGTATGCACAGGCTGGGGGTCTTCAAAGGGCTGTGATATGCAAAGGGCTGGAGGCTCTAGTTGCCATGACAATAGGCAGCCCCCTGTAGTGAGCAACTGATGGCCTCAGAGTCCCCCTTGGCACTTGGCCCTCTGGGTCCTGCCACCTCATAGGTCATGGGGGGGATGGGCTGCATTTCCAGGTGACTTCCAGCCAGGCTAGAAGGCTCTCTCTTTAATCAGAACAAAACAATCATGGTAACAGAGCATGATTAATATTTCTTACAGCCCTAGCTGGTTTGGCTCAGTGGATAGGGTGTTGGACTGTAGACTGAAGGGTCCCAGGTTCAATTCTGGTGAAGGGCACATGCCTGGGTTGTGGGCTCGATGCCCACTGTGGGGCATGCAGGAGGCAGCCGATCAATGATTCTCTCTCATCATTGATGTTTCAATCTCTTCCTCCCTCTCCATTCCTCCTTGAAATCAATAAAAATATTTTTAAAAAAGAAAAGAAAAATAAATTGGGCTCTAACTTCGCAGAAACTAAGTTTGTTCTGCAAGCCGAAGCTTTGCAAAAACATCTTCCCCTTGAGAACATCTTACATGAACTTCTGAGACTACAACTCTCGCACAGCCCTGATACTTGGGTCAACAGAAGCCCCCGGCAGCCCAGCCCAGACACAAGTGACCCGAAGCCACCTGCAGCTCTCCCTGAGCACACAGAAAGCCTACTCCCTCCCCCACTCACTGCTGACTTCTTTCTCACTCAGCCTCTCTGCACCCAGATGCCTTGAATAAATATAATTTTGACTACACTGAGCCTTGAGTCGAAGGTGACCAGAAGTCCCGCTTTTGGCGGGACAGTCCCGCCAAAAGTGGGATGTCTGGTTACCTTACTTGAGTCGGTTCTGTGTGACCCTGGCCCAACTCAGAACCTTTCCACCTATTTGCCCCATCACCTGAGAACTCCTGGCATGTAGCTTGAGATGCCCCCCCATGTGTCCTGGGGTCTTAGCCCAGGGGGAATCACTGGGCTCCCTTATAGGCCCTTAGTTGTCCTGGGTGCACCCTGTCCATGGGGAAATGACCAGATTCCTGTGTTTGGCCCATTAACTGGTCGCTGGGCATGGCCAGGTCTGGCTGAATCTCACCAAAGCCATTAAGAATGCTTTTTCCGCCATCTTCTCAAGGAAGCAGAGCTCACACCTGTGGGGAGAACACCACAAGTCACCTTCCCACACACTCCAATTCCCCCAGGGCCTCTGGGCTCTGCTCCTGCAAGGCAGAAGCCAGGTCCCAACCTCACAGGGACCTGCCTACAGGGGTCACCTGGACAACAGGAGAGCTGAGGGTTAATTGCCCTGGAGCGGGCCCACTCTCTGGGCGTGGGGGGACAGGGCTCTGTCTGTGGAGGCCCAGGGTCTGGCTTTGCCTTGGGCTCAGGAGTCTCCTCTGCAGGCCTGGGGGGAAGCTCACCTATCCTATCCCCATTGTTTTTGGGCTCCCCAGACAGCGTGGAGCTTCTCCTTGTAGGAGACATGGCTCTATGGTACCTCTTCATAGAAAAGAAACAGCGTATGGCCAGAGCAAACAGGATGTGGTAGGGGAGGCGGGGAGAGGATATGAGAGCTGGGCTCCTGGCTGGTAGCACATTTTCCAGGAAGAATCCTTAGACAAAGGGAGGTGGAGACAACTAGAAAAGGCCTCAACCAATGGAAACAAACAAACAAACAAACAAACAAACAAACTGTGAGTTTCTCCCTCCCCCCAACTGGTGGGCGGGAGTTATGACATTACTGGCATCCATCACAGAGACATCCCCAAGACTTTGAACCCCAAATCAGTGCATGCCAAAGTGCCCTGGCGCCCACCCCTTCCTGTTCCGCCCTGGGTGCACCCCTTTCCTGTTCCTCCTCTTAAAAAGACCCCCAGGCCCGTCATGTGTTGCCATCCATGGATGCAGCCCGTAATGAGTCCCGCTCATTTCTGGGGAAAGATTTTACTTTAACATATGTTGGTGGTCAATTTCCAGAGCCTCAAACCTTACACACACACACACACACACACACACACAGACACACAGACACACAGACACACACAGACACACACAAAAAACAACAACAACAAACAAAACACACACACACACACACACACACACACAAACACCTTCACAAAAAATATATACACCAATAGGAGACAATAAGAACTTGAGACCTATGGATAGAATGCAAACTCCATGTACTCAGCAAACACCTGGAGGAGGGATTTCACACAATGGAATAAACACTGCCTGTGCCAGCTAATTCAGGGGCTGCACCAGCAGACACCTGCTCTCCAGAAAGTTTTAAAAGTCCCATTTTCGCCAGACTTCTGTCTCCGAGTCCGTTACTGGAATTCAGACGGGCGAGCCTTCCTCACCCGGTCTCCTTACCCACCTTGGGAAAGTGTTGTCTGAGGGAGCTCCTGTGGCCACCGGCCCAGGCTCTGCCCCACCTCCTGCCCATCCCCTTCAGCACCCTCCGGCTGTACCCCAAGACCTTCAAAACCCAGGCTTGGCTCCTGGGTCCCTGGGCCCCTGTCCTCTGCTCCCTGGGTCATATGGGGATGCTCACCAGCTGCCCTGTCCACCAGGTATTGCATTTGGCTGCTCAGAATTCCTGACACCCCTCCACCCCAGCTCACAACTCCCAGCAGGACCCATGGCTAAGAACCTGCCATGGGACAAACCTGGGGAGGACCTGAGGGGAGTGGTTATCTGACAGGTGACAGTGGGGTGAGGGGTGGCCTCCTGGGTACAGAGAGGGACAGCTGGGGTCCTTGACCCACTGACACTCCCTGCCCAACTCCCCGCACACATCCGAAGGCACACCTTCCAAGGCCAGGCCCTCACCCTTTGTCCTCAGTCGCCCCTTCTAGAAGGAAGAGCTGAGTCCTGCATGCAAATCATTTCCCTGCTGTACCTGGGCCTCCCTTGGCTGAGGACCCCGTTCCCTGAGGCTAAGGCTGCCGCCCTGTTCCGGATCACAAGCCCCCTCCCTGGTGGACTCCCCCCTCTTGGAGAATCAGCTCTCCTTCCCGGTGCCCCTGCCCCTCACCCTGCTCTCACCTTCAGAAAGAGACGGACCGCTATCCTGCTCTAGTGTATCTAGAGTCAGAAATATAATAGCTGAAAGTTTTGTACTTGGGTGTGGTAGGAAATGACATCAAAGATTCCATAATTCTGAGTCATCTGTAGCTGACTGTAATTGATTGTGTTGAGGGTGTGTGTTTGTATAATAGAAAGACTGCTTTTACTTAACAGTTTGCTTTTTCTATTTATCTTTTTTGTGAAATGTTTACAGGATCTACTTCTCATCTGTATGTTAAACTGCTAAGACCTACACATTCAAAATTAAGGAGACTTCTTTTTTTTTTTTTTTAAAAATAAATCTTTATTGTTCATATTATTACAAATGTTCCTCATTTCTCGCCCCCCCCCTCCATAGCTTCCCTCCACCAGATTCCCACCCCACCCTCTGCCCTTTCCCCACCCCACATTGTCCTCATCCACAGGTGCATAGTTTATGTTCAGTCTCTTCCCACACCCCCCACTCCTTTTTCCCCCGAGAATGGTCAGTTCACTTCCCTTTCATACCTCTGATCCTATTATATTCATCAGTTAATATTGTTCATCAGATTTTTTTTTAATTCCCTTGGTTTTTAGATTCACTTGTTGATAGTTACATATTTGCTGTTCATAGTTTTTATCTTTATCTACTTTCGTTTCCGAAAGAACCCCTTCTGGTTTGGCGGTGATGAACTCCTTTAGCTTTTTTTTTATTTGTGAAGCTCTTTATCTGGCCTTCAATTCTGAGTGATAGCTTTGCTGGGTAGATTATTTTTGGCTGTAGGTTCTTGCTATTCATCACCTTGAATATTTCTTGCCATTCCAGTCTGGCCTGCATGGTTTCTGTTGAGAAATCAGCTGACAATCGTTTAGGTGCTCCTTTATAGGTAACTACCTGCTTTTCTCTTGCTGCTTTTAATATTGTCTCTCTGTCTTTTGCTCTTGGAATTTTAATTATGATGTGTCTTGGTGTGGTCCTCTTTGGATTCCTTTTGTTTGGAGTTCTGTGCCCTTCCTGGACTTGTAAGTCTAATTCTTTCCCCAGGTGGGGGAAGTTTTCTGTCACTATTTCTTTCAGTATGTTTTCGATATCTTGCTCTCTCTCATCTTCTGGGACCCCCATAATTCTGGTGTTGGTTCGCTTGAAGTTGTCCCAGAGGTTTCTTACATTATCTTCAACTTTCTGGATTCTTTTCTCTTCTTGCTTCTGCGGAGGAGTGTCTTCTGGCTCTTTATGTTCCAAATCTTTGACTTGATTCTTGCAATCTTCCATTCTGTTTTTAGGACTCTGTATAACATTTTTTATTTCAGACAATGTATTCTTTATTTCTTGTTGATCCTTTATTATTTTCTTGTTGATCCCTTATGAGTTCTTGTTGATCCCTTTTCATATACTCATAGGTCTTACCGACCTTTTCTAGGAAATTCTTGAAAAACCTTATAAGTGTGGTTTGGAACTCTATATCTAGTCGCTTCTTTCCCTCCATTTCTTTTGTTTGTGATCTGTTTCCCTGTCTCGGCATTTTCACAGCTTCCCTGAGTTAGTAGGGTGGCTTTGTGTGCTAAGGTGTCCTATATGGTTCAGTGAGTCAGCCTCCCAGGTACCTGAGGTGGACAGTCTTGGTGTAGCCCTTTGTGGGCTGTGTGTGCAGTCTTGTTGTTAAACCTTGCTTGCTGTTGGTATCACTGGGAAGTGTTGATCTCCAAGCCAATTGGCTATGAGGATCAGAAGTGTCTCAGTTAGGAGGGTTTCTGTATTCCACTTGAATGGGGCGGAGTCTCGGGGTGGCACAGACAAGCTTTGTTGAATCCCTCACAACTGGTTGCAGGCGCACGCACCTCTTTGGTATAGGCGCAGACAAGCTTTAGATTCATGTCTGTCACTCCCTAGGAAAGTCCCATTTGCTACGATTGAGAAAGCTAGCCACTGGAAGGGCTTCTGTGCTCCGCTTGGAAGGGGCAGAGTCTCGGGTGGTGCAGACAAGCTTTATTCAGCCCCTCCCTATGAGGGTCTGGTTTCTGAGTCCCGCAGTAATGGCCTCTGGCTTCACACACCTCCTAGAGATCTCTGCCCACTGCCTGACAGTCTGGCCTCTCCCTGCGCATTAGCTGTCCGCCCTCTCTGCGCGCAGCAGGTAAGTCAGCAGTGAACTCAGCCCGCCCTCTCCGTGCTCCACTATCAAGCCGGCAGCGAACTCTGTGGCTGCCTTTTCGCACGCACAGTTCTCTGCACCTTCACAGTTCCTGAGGTTCAGCGTGCTGTCTTTCTCCTTCCCAGATGGTAGAGCCAAGGAGACTTCTTTTTGCCACTTTAACTATATTTAAGTGTGTGGTCTATGATTCAGTGGCACTAGTTACATTCTGTCAGACCCAGCAAGAGCCCAGCCAGGGCTCCGGAGCTCTGCGTTGTTCTGAGTCCCTATAATTCTTCTAAATTCTTCCTGACTGTGCCAGGGCAGTTCCAGAACTGTTGGGGTCTTAGTCCAAATCCTCCTTTATCCTCCGCTCACTAGATAGAGATGGTGGGTCTGAGCCCCTCTGCCTAGGGACAGGGCCTTCTTGGACACTGGGGCTTAGACGGAGAAGCCACGAGAGGGTAAGAGCATATTGCAGAAGCCAGTAGCCATATAGCCGTCAGACAAAACAGTTCTTCACAGCAAAGTTCATACAGACAGGCAGCCGGACACCAGCTGGTTAACATGGACATCTTTCCCACAAAGCAGCATTAGTCTCTGTCCTCACAGCTGTTATCTGAGCAGCTGCGTGCTGCCTCCTACACTCACTGCCTCACATCGTAGGGGTCGGTACCTAAGCTCTCAGCCTCAGCAGCTTCTCCTGTCTTCCCTGCCCAGCACACTGGCTGTTCTCTGTAGCTTCACGTAGTAACCACCTCCGAGCTTCTCTCCCAGCACACTGGCTGGTTAACATGGTGGCCATATCTGAGCCCTCTATGAGCTCTCAGCTTTACATTGTGGCAGTACCAGCTCTCAGCTCTATCTGAGCTCTGTAGCCTTTTCCCTTCTGAGCCTACTCTTCTCCCACTCGCTGGTCTGTAACCTGTATATTACTCCAAAGACAAAGGAGGCTAGTTGCCAATGTTATGCCCAGATTTCAAGATCCCCAAGGCCACCAGGGAGCCGAGTCTGATGCAAAAGCAAAGAGCCTTTATTCAAGCTTGAGCCTGGTCTCTCCTCCTCTTCCGAAGCAGCGGCAGGATGCAAAGAGAGCCTCAGGACCAGCTTTTACCTCCCAAGTCACTCAACAGGGTCGCTCTGGAGACTTCACCAACCAGTTTCTTGGGGAAATCATGCTGCTGCGACCATCATCCAGCCCACTACTAACAAAGCCCGCTCTCCTGTGAATCTCCGACCCTGAGACCCTCAGCAGCCGAATTCACAGTGTGTCCTGGAAGACTGGTCCTGGTGGAGACCGAGATCTGCTTCCCTGGAAGACTTACATTCATGGCCAGTGGATCTTACCTGGCAAGATAAGATCCAATTCTCTACTCCAGAAGAAGCTCGGGTTTTCAAATTCCTTTTTATATGTCTTGTCTCCTCACCATAGTCCTCTTACAAGCAACTAACAATGAATACACCAAGGTAGGTTCCTGGTCCTTTTCAGGTAAAACAGGCCTAGGATGATGAGAGAGTAATCAATTCTCCTCTCTGGGATGGCAAACCCTCCAGGGTCACTCTCTGTTTTGATGCCTGTGCGGCCATGGTCCCGGGGTGGTCTAGCTGCAGTGGGTGGCATCGGAGCTATGCCACCAACCACAAATATCTATGTATGAAATACCACCAGAAAGGGGTCCCTGACAACATAGGGGAGTTTGACTGTCCATATTGGCCGTGCTCCCACTACCACTCTGGTGCTTTATGTAGCCCGCTAGTGAACCTCAAAAACCCACTCCCCGACTATGAGTACCTGAGTGCCTAACTCTGTGCCTTACATGGACCATACACTAAGCCACCAGTCAGAGCCCGCTGAGTACCCATAACCCCATCCCTTCCCCTTCCTCCCCTCAACAGGAGTGCTCACCTCTGCACAGGTTGCTGCTCTCCCCTTGCGAGACAGCCCGGCAGGTTTCTCCTCTCATAAAGCCTGTGTCACCTGGTTTTCAGTCTCCAACTTCTCTTTCCGTATGCACCCCAACCAGGGATGGAACTCACCACCTAGGGATGTGCCCTGACTTTATTTGAGCCCTCAGCCTTTTGATGCAAGGGGTGACACTCCAACCAACTGAGCCACCCAACCAGGGCCTGTGTCATATCCTTTATAATAAACTAATGATCTAGCCTAAACCGGTTTTGCTCAGTGGATAGAGCGTCTGTCTGCGGACTGAAAGGTCCAGGTTCGATTCCGGTCAAGGGCATGTACCTTGGTTGCAGTTACATCCCCAGTAGGGGGTGTGCAGGAGGCAGCGGGTCCATGTTTCTCTCTCATTGATGTTTCTAGCTCTCTATCCCTCTCCCTTCCTCTCTGTAAAAAATCAATGAAATATATTTAAAAAAAAAAAAAAAACCACACACACACACACACACACACACACGCACACAAAACTAATGATCTAATAAGTGAACCATTTACCTGTGTTCTGTGAGCCCTTCTAGGAATTTATTGAACCCAAGGAGAAGATGCGGGAATCCCTGGAAAGAAATTTGTGGGTAACCTGGCACCCATTATCTGGGACTGGCTTTTGAAGTTGGGGCAGATTGGTGGGACTGAATCCCTCACTTGTGGGGTCTTCAATAGCTCCTGTTGGTGTCAGAATTGAGTTAAATCAGAGGAAACAAAGTCGGTGACCCAGAGAACTAGAAACAGGTTGGTGGGGGAAATGGCACACAGCTGGGATGTGGCTGTGAGTGCTGTAGAGGAGAAACAGAATTGGCTTTTCTTTTCCAGGCCCTGAGGAGGCCCCAGAAGAACCAGTGGCCCTGGGTCTGAAAGATGAATCAGGTCAGGCAGCCTGGGGAAGGGCCAGGTGGGGGCTGCTGGGGTATGGGGAGGCTGGGTCTCAAAGGACCCAGAATCCTGGGATAAAGAGTCTGGTTCTGGAAGAGTCAGGCACACAGTATGCACTCAATAAATGTGTATTTAATTCATTTTTATTTTGCTCCGAAGTTGACTTTGTTCATAATGAAAATATAAACTGTGTATAGCATGTTGCTTCACACATCCCCTAGGAAGGTGGAGCCTTCTTCTTCTGGCCAGGGGATTGGAAAGGATTCCTGTCAATACATTTTCTGTTTCTTGTTTTCTTGGGCCTGCAAAAGAAGGCAGGCATGTCAGACAGGGCCCGGAGCTGACAATGGGAGGAGGGTATGGACAGTCAGTGTGAGGGGCAGCCAGACATCCAGGCCAATGCAGGGCCCCACTACCTTCTCAGATCTGAACTGTACCTCCTTCAAACCATCCCCAACTTTCTCTCTTACACATATGCAGCCCCCATCCCCAGTCCCTGCCAACCTCAGACCAAGCTTGCTCTCACCTTTCTCCAGCAGTAGATTCCAATTGCTGTGATTGCTGTGATTGCCACTATCACCAAGCCCACGGATAGCAGAACTGCAGAGATCCCTGTTGCCCCTGCCACAAAGTTCACACCTCCCATTCCCTATATGGAGGAAGAAAGGGGAAGGGTGACCTGTGAGCCCAGGCTCACCCCCCAGGATAGAGACAGTGAGGGGACTGTGGGCTCAGGGTCCCAGATGACAGGATGGGTGGAACCAGAGGGAAGAATGGCCCCATCCACTGAGCTGACGAGATGCTGGCTCTGCTCCCACCTCTGTAGTGAGCAACTGGTGGCCTCAGGATGGCCCTTGGCCCTCTGGGCCTTGCCACCTCATAGGTCATGGGGATGGCACTCTCCAACCCCTGGGCTGGAGGGAGAAAGCAAGTGGCCAGTGGAACTGCTCACAGGGTGAGCCAGGCTCACTGCAGAGGGTCTTTCAGGCTCTGGAGGAGGTGGCCCTTCTGACACCCCAGCAGGGGATGGAGGCTGAGGGGTCCCTGTGTAACCTGACAATCAGTGGGTCCCTGCTGCTTTCACTCCTTGGGCCAATGAGGCAGAGACAGGATGGAATCACTGTGAGCATTAATTCCAATACTGCTGGCAGTGTCAGTGAGCAGCAGGTCATCCACAAATACCTGCTAAACCAGCTGCTTATATTGGGTAGAAGGACAAAGATTACATGGGGAAGTAGGCAAGGGAATGCCAAGAGGGCAGTTTTCAGGTAACACAGGCTGGAGATTTGCCAAGGCCTGCAGTATGCACAGGCTGGGGGTCCTCAGAGGCCTGGGGAAATGGGACGGACTCAGGCTCTGGTTTCCACCACCAGGTTGTTAATCTTCCCATGACAATAGGCAGCTCCCTGGTGGGGAGGATGGGCTGCATTTCCAGGTGAGCTCCCAGCCATGTGCCTTCTTTCATCAGAACAAAACAATCACGGTTATCAGAACATGGTTAATATTTCTTACAATTTCAGTTGGTCCCCAATATTCTATTTCTGCCCCATCACCTGAGAACTCCTGGCCTGTAGCTTGAGATGTCCCCCACCCCATGTGTCCTGGGGCCTCAGACCAGGGGGAAGCCCTGGGCCCCCTTAAAGGCCCTTAGTTGTCCTGGGTGCACCCTGTCCATGGGGAAATGACCAGATTCCTGTGTTTGGCCCATTAACTGGTCGCTGGGCATGGCCAGGTCTGGCTGAATCTCACCAAAGCCATTAAGAATGTTTCCGCCATCTTCTCAGGGAATCAGAGCTCACACCTGTGGGGAGAACACCACAAGTCACCTTCCCACACACTCCAATTCCCCCAGGACCCCTGGGCTCTGCTCCTGCAAGGCAGAAGCCAGGTCCCAACCTCACAGGGACCTGCCTACAGGGGTCACCTGGACAACAGGAGAGCTGAGGGTTAATTGCCCTGGAGCGGGCCCACTCTCTGGGCCTGGGGGGACAGGGCTCTGTCTGTGGAGGCCCAGGGCCTGGCTTTGCCTTGGGCTCAGGAGTCTCCTCTGCAGGCCTGGGGGGAAGCTCACCTCCCCAATCTACCCTTATGCCTCTGAGCTCCCCAATTGGCTGGGGCTTCTCGTTGTGGGAGACATGCTCTAAGATTCATCTTCATAGAAAGGAAACAGCATATGGCCAGAGCAAACAGGATGTGGGAGGGGAGGAGGATATGAGAGCTGTGCTTGTGGCTTGTATCGGGTCTAGTAATAATAATTAATGTCGTTTTTTAACATTCGTTTAAAATCTTGCTTGGCATTGACTTGTATTGACATAACTTTCAAACACGTGGTATCTACAGAACGTGTGAAGTGCAATTAAAAAGTTTTGCTTGAAAAAGTTTGTGTTTGGTTTGGTTTTTGTTGCAAAACTAGGGCTAAGAAGATGGCGGATGAAGAGCATATTCGGCACTGCATGCTTTACGAGTTCCAATTAGGAAGAAAAGCAAGTGAGGCTGCAAAAAACATCTGTAGTGCTCTTGGTCAATATGCAGTTAGCGCCAGAAAATGCCAGCGTTGGTTTGAGAAATTTCGCGAGGGAAATTTTTCGTTAGATGACAAGAGTGGTCGAGGCCGTGTGTCCAATTTTGATCAAGAAGCTCTTCAAGCTCTTTTGGTGCAAAATCCTCAAATTACCCAACAAGAGCTTGCGACAACTTTAAATTGTTCACAAAAAACAATTTCCAATCAATTGCGTGCACTTGGCAAAGTCCAAAAGTTTGGAAAATGGGTTCCTCATGAGTTGACCGACAACAACCGTAATCAAAGAGTCACAATTTGCAGTTCGCTCCTCTCTCGTCAAAACCATTTGCCGTTTTTAGAGCAAATTGTTACCGGAGATGAAAAATGGGTGCTGTATGTTAATTTGAAAAGGCGGCCTCAATGGTTGGACAAAAATGAGGCTCCGCAGCCCACGCCAAAACCTGACTTGCATGCGAAAAAGGTGATGTTGTGTGTTTGGTGGAATTTTAAAGGAATTCTTCATTATGAACTTTTACCATCTAACCAAACCATTACAAGTGCAGTGTATAGTGCCCAATTGGAAAGGTTAGCCCAAGCTTTAAGAGAAAAAGAACCCGCGCTGATTAATTGGAAGGGCGTAATTCTTCACCATGATAACGCACGACCGCATACAGCAAGAATCACTGCTGAAAAACTGCGCCAGTTGGAATGGGAAGTTCTCCCTCAACCTGCATATTCTCCTGATATTGCCCCTTCCGATTACCATTTGTTTCGTTCTTTGCAAAACTTTCTTCTTGGAAAAAAATTTAATAATGAAGAATGCCTCAAAAATGCATTGACCAAATTTTTTGCATCAAAATCACAAGAATTGTACAACAGAGGGATTAAAATGCTTCCTGAGCGTTGGGCACAAGTAGTAGAAAACAACGGCAGCTATATTGTTGATTAAATTTTGTTGTATTGTTTAAATAAATTCGATTTTAAAAAAGTATGAGAAAACGACATTAATTATTACTAGACCTAATAGCACACTTTCCAGGAAGACTCGTTCGACAAAGGGAGGTGGAGACAACTACAAAAGGCCTCATCCAATGGAAAAAAACAAACAGACCCACTAGGAGACCATAAGACCTGGGGCCCTATGGGATAGAATGCAAACTCCATGTACTCAGCAAACATCTGGAGGAGGGATTTCACACAATGGGATAAACACTGCCTGTGCCAGCTAATTCAGGAGCTGCACCAGCAGACACCTGCTCTCCAGAAAGTTTTAAAAGTCCCATTTTCGCCAGACTTCTGTCTCCGAGTCCGTTATTGGAATTCAGACAGGTGAGCCTTCCTCACACGGTCTCCTTACCCACCTTGGGAAAGTGTTGTCTGAGGGAGCTCCTGTGGCCACCGGCCCAGGTTCTGCCCCATCTCCTGCCCATCCCCTTCAGCACCCTCCGGCTGTACCCCAAGACCTTGAAAACCCAGGCTTGGCTCCTGGGTCCCTGGGCCCCTGTCCTCTGCTCCCTGGGTCATATGGGGATGCTCACCAGCTGCCCTGTCCACCAGGTATTGCATTTGGCTGCTCAGAATTCCCGACACCCCTCCACCCAGCTCACCGCTCCCTGCAGGGCCTATGGACAAGAACCTGCCATGGGACAAACCTGGGGAAGTCCTGAGGGGGGGGAGGGTCATCTGACAGGTGACAGTGGGGTGAGGGGTGGCCCGCTGGGGACAGAGAGGGACAGCTGGGGTCCTTGACCCACTGACACTCCCTGCCCAACTCCCCCCACACATCCGAAGGCACACCTTCCAAGGCCAGACCCTCACCCTTTGTCCTCAGTCGCCCCTTCTAGAAGGAAGAGCTGAGTCCTGCATGCAAATCATTTCTCTGCTGTACCTGGGCCTCCCTTGGCTGAGGACCCTGTTCCCTGAGGCCAAGGCTGCCGCCCTGTTCCGGATCACGGCCCCCTCCCTGGTGGACTCCCACCTCTTGGAGAGGCAGCTCTCCTTCCCGGTGCCCCTGCCCCTCACCCTGCTCTCACCTTCAGGAAGAACCAGCCGCTCTCCTGCTGCTCTGGCTGGTCTGACCCAGAAGCAGACTTGGGACTTTCCTTCCAGCTCTGCGCTGCCGTGTACCCAGTGGTTTCCCTGAAATCATGTGACTTTTTTTCTGAGGTTTTTAAGTTTCATTTTAGTTTGTTTCCCTTTCACTTCCCTGACGAAAAAGCAGTCAACACATAGCCTTTAGGGAGTCAACTAAAGACAACTGAGGGTGAGGGTCAGAGGGAGAAAATTGATTCCTGGGCAGGCTTTCGGCATGGCTGGTAGAGGAGAAATACACTGAGTGGCCAGATTTTTTTAATCGCTGAACGCATAATAATCTGGCCACTCAGTGTATATCATATATAATAATTCTATATAATAAAAGGCTAATAAGCAAATTGTTCCCTCAACCAAGAGTTCAACCAGCAGGCAGGTCAGCCAACCACCCATGTCTCCTTCCCCTGGCCAGGCTGGCCAGGCTGGCCAGACCCCCGTTCCCCATGCACAAATTCATGGACTGGGCCTCTAAGGTGTGTATATATCTTCTATATTAATAAAAATGTAAATGTTCATTTGTTCAAAATCTTAAATCTCTGAAAGTTCTTCACCGATTGCTTTGAAATTTTGACGTAAAGTTGCATTTGAATACGCAAGTGTTTTTACATACCTTATACCTACTATTGTATAGATGTCACACCTGTGACAGGTAAAAAAACAACAACAAAAAAACAACACAGCGCTATCTATTGGACATAAAAGCAACACAGGCTATACTAAATATTTTATGATTCCCTGAAACCAGTTTGGCTCAATGGATAGAGCGTTGGTCTGCAGACTGAAAGGTCCTTGGTTTGATTCTGGTCAAGGGCATGTACAATACATTGGTTGCGGACATATCCCCAGTAGTGGGTGTGCAAGAGGCAGCTGGTCAATGTTTCTCTCTCATCGATGTTTCTAGCTCTCCGTCTTTCTCCCGTCCTCTCTGTAAAATATCAATAAAATATATTAAAAATAAATAAATAAATAAATCATTTTAGAAAAAAAATATTTTAGGATTCCATTTCAATGTTTCCGATTTATGATCCATTTACCGACAACAACCGTAATCAAAGAGTCACAATTTGCAGTTCGCTCCGAATTTCCAATTTCACGATACCATTTCAATGTTGATAATGATTCAAGATTTGTGCTTAGAAATCGCTACCAAAGTTCTCAATCAATTGGGAATGCCATCACCAAATCCATCTGCTGCTGCTTCATTCGATGGAGAATTGCGTAGTGAACAAAATTACAACATGGGTGACCTTTTGTCATATGTGCAATCAAATATTCCTAAACTAACACTTGAACAAAAAGGCATTTACGATCAAATAATGCAAACTGTCAATAATGGGGTTGGAGAAATCTTTTTAGATGCGCCAGGAGGAACTGGTAAAACGTTCCTAATTAGATTGATTCTGGCAGCAACTGGATCCCAAAATGACATAGCCTTAGCTCTTGTGTCATTGGGAATAACTGTGACATTGCTACCAGAACTGTTCATTCCGCTTTGTAATTGCCATTGAACATGCAATTCATTGAAACTGCCACGTGCAACATTTCCAAAGCATCCAGCATGGCAAAAGTATTGCAGAAATGCAAACTTATTGTTTGGAAAGAATGCACAGTGGTCCACAAAAAATCCCTCGAGGCTCTTGATCGATCATTGCAAGATTTGCGTGGAAACATCAGACCATTTGGGAACGCATTAATATTGCTTGCAGGAGATTTCAGGCAAACATTACCTGAAATCCTCGATCGACACCAGCAGACGAAATAAATGCTTGCCTGAAATACTCTACTTTGTGGCGACACGTAAAGAAGTTAAAATGAATGACAAATATGCAGGTTCAGCTGCAAAACGATTGATCCGCTGAGATATTCTCACATCAATTGCTGGAAATTGGGAACGGAAAGGTTTCGGTTGACCTGACCTCAGGACCAATTTCAATGCCTCATAACTTCTGCAATTTAGTGATGTTGGAAGATGAATTGATTGAAAAATGTCCCGACCCGCGGGACAACAACGGGGGGCACGCATGAACCACCTAAGAGAATGAATCAAACAAGGAACGCGGAAAGAATGGAGGCAAGACAAGGTTCTGATCAAGCCTCAGTTTTATTCTCTGAAATGGCTGTATTTATACAGCAGAGACAAAGGGGGGCAGGGCCGCCTATGCAGGGGGGTCTTTGGTATGGCAACACAGGATTGACTAATTGCCAGAGGCGGTGTGACATTCCAAGGTGCACCATTCCAAGGCTGGGCTATCTAGGGGGGAGGATCAGGAAGGGGAAGAGGCAGGAAGACAGGAGATGCTAAACCCCAGGTTAATCTTATCTTTGGCCAAGCCCTCAGGGCACCTCATAACTTCTGCTAGAAGGAACTTAATTCTAGAAGGAACTTAATTCTATTTCCTTAAGACTGAGTTGCTTGCCTCAACTCTGCTGGTTCCCAACAGAAAAAGTATTTCCCAATATTCAAACCAATTATAAGAATCACGATTGGCTGAGTGAACGAGCTATTCTTGTGACCAAGAACAAAGACGTCTACGAACTTAACAACATTCTTCAGTCTAACATTCAGAGCGAGGCAGTCACATACAAGTCTGTCGATACTGTTGTGGAAGCAGGTGAAGGGGTTAATTATCCAACAGAATTTTTGAATTCACTCGATCTGCCAGGGATGCCACCGCACCTACTGCAATTGAAAATCCGTGTGCCAGTTATCATGTTGCGAAATATCAACCAGCCAAAGCTTTGCAACAGCACGAGGCTCACAGTACAAAAATTAATGAACAACTTGGTAGAAGCAACAATACTGACAGGACCTTTCAAAGGTGAAGAAGTCCTCATTCCTCGCATTCCTATGATTCCAACAGATATGCCATTTCAATGTAAGAGATTGCAATTCCCAGTTCGATTGGCGTTTGCAATCACAAAGCTCAGGGCCAATCTTTAGAATTTTGTGGTTTAGATCTAGACTCGGATTGCTTCTCAAATGGACAATTATATGTTGAGTGTTCTAGAGTCGGCTAACAGGACAACCTCTAAATCTGCACAGACAATAGAAGAACAAAAAATATTGTATACCCACAAGCATTGTGAAATAAAACATATTAGGAACGTGTGCTTTTGCCTTTTCTTTCTTTTCCATTTAACCAGACTGAGCCACAGCAACACGTGGCTGGTGGCAAGATTATTATTAGTTCAGAGATCATAATAATCTGGCCACTCAGTGTATAGTTGAAGCCCCAGACAGGAGGGGCAGTGCCAGGTGTGGTGGGGAGTGAGGCCAAAGATTCCATAATTCTGAGTCATTTGAAGAGGACCCCGAGCCTGTTATGGAAACAGAGCTTCGGGTCCAGTGCCGGCCCCAGTCTGCAGCCCATCCCGTACTCAGAATCCCCGGAGCCAACATTTTGGCAAAGGCCCTTCCTCTGGAAGCTCAGTGTTAGAAATGCTCTCAACGGTGTCGCAGCAATGAGGCAAATACTCAAGCGTGTATGGGCAAGGCCAATTTACCCCTGCGCAGAAGGGTGCTCTGGCCAGCTGGAAGTCAAGGGCAAAGCACAAGGGAAGGGAAATCCAATCAGACATTAATTTCCTGACCCAGGGTCGGCCCTGGCCTCACTTTGAACTCTGACTTGATCGCTCAGGCTCAGAGCTCAGCTTCCCATTATTTTGAGACTGGCTATTTCAGAGGAAGTGGAAGGGGAAGTCAGAGCCCAAGACGGTGGCCTCCAGGGGAGCTGCCAGTCATGAGGACCAAAATACTGGCGTCAAGTCACTGGAGTCCGAATGACGGCTGCCAAAACTGTTCTTTGACAGAAAAGATTTCTTGTTTATTCTCACATCAGCCAGAAGCCTTCAGTCCTGGGAGACTTTCTGGAGGAGGTAACACTGGGCCTGGGAGGGCAATGACCAAGGGGCATCTGGGAAGGCCAGCAGGAGGGGCCTGAGGCCTCCTGGGGAAAGTCTTGCAGGGGAGGACCCTCAGGGAGGGCCCCCGACACAGACAAAATAACAATCAAGCCCACCACCCACAACCCACCACCCACCACCCGCCACCCACCACCCACCACCCATGGCCCAGCACCCACCATCCTGTGTCTCTGCATCTGCCTACCTAGCTCACCGTGCTGAGCAACAGCCTGCCTGACATGTGTGCCTTGAGAACCATGTGGATACACAGTTCCTGTTTTAATGCCTGTTTATTTCAGTTCATTGATATAATCATAATATTCTATCGATGGGCATTTAGTTTTTTGTTTTTTAAAAAAATATTCTTTATTGATTTTTCACAGAGAGGAAGAGAGAGGGATAGAGAGTTAGAAACATCAATGAGAGAGAATCATCGATCAGTCACCTCCTGCACACCCCCCACTGGGGATGTGCCCGCAGCCAAGGTACATGCCCTTGCCAGGAATCGAACCCGGGACCTTTCAGTCCGCAGGCCGACTCTCTATCCACTGAGCCAAACCGGTCCCGGCGCATTTAGTTTTTTTTCTACTTCTTTTAATATTATGAATTTGTGCTGTTAAACGACACACAAAACAAACAAACAAAAAACATTGGAACCTGTAAAGAATTTTTGTGAGTTTATTTGAGCCAAACTGTCGACATATGCCGGGAAGCAGAACCTCAGCGAATTCAGATAAGGCTCTGGAGAATGGCGGGTTACACCTGTATTTATACATTGCTGTCAAAGGAAAGGGACACAGGTAGGTGGGTTACATGAAATTCATTGGTGATAGATTAAGGAGGTGGGAGAAAGCAATGCAGGGGAGCGGGGGTTGGGGGTTGAGGGGGAACCCCTGGGATTGTATATAAGGTAAAATGATAGGTACTTAGGTGGGTGCAGGGACAATAAACATGATAACAATGAAGGAGTTTGTGGTGTCTGTGTTGGCGCATTAGGTTGTACCCCAAGGGGTCCAGAAAAGGGGAAGTGAACAGTTACCCAGACATTTCAAGGATATGTTATTATAGACGCAAAAAGACGAATAGGCTCAGATAAGGGAATGTTGACCTTGTCAGTGAAGATACCGGCCTAGAATGTAACTACCCACCGTAACTGCTTTTAGTT